CTTCGATCTGAGGAAGCACTCTATCTTCCGCTTTGAGGCGAGCCAGCGATTTCTCGATTAGCATATGAGTTGAGCTCTTCTCCGACGCCGTACAGAAGTCCTGGTTGGAGAGCGAATCTGCATTCTCTTCGCATCTCTTCTTCGAAAACACAAAGATACACGCGGGAAGCATGCTTTCTTTTTTGAGATGTAGCACAAGATGCACCCATATATTCCGGTCCTGCGCTGCCGTGGTACGCCCGCCCCCTCTCCCGGTTCTCGCAATGTTACCAACGCCTCGTGGACTCGGCTGGCCTCGTCCTCGCTGCTGAGCGCCTCCTCTTTGTTGACCGCTGCCTCCACGTTGAGGCCCGCCTCTTTGCGCGCCACGTTGAGGTTGTCCGCGCCCGCGATCGGCAGGCCCGCCTCGCTGGTTAGCTTTGGCTTCCGCCGCCTTTTGTGCACGAATCTTGTCACGTCCGGACAGGATGTCATCCGCCTCCTTCCAGCCTTTTTCAATGAATTTCTTGTCGGCATCCACAATTCGATGCATACTTTTGCCGGCCCAGAGGTAATGCTCTAAAGGCACGGGACGTTTGGGGGTAGAAATAACGTAAATGTCCTTTTTCTTGGTCCGGCCGACCCAGGAAGCAAACTCGTAGGTATTCGGTACCGTAGCGGATAGCAAAATCAGAGTAACGTGCTCTGGAAGCATGATAATGACCTCTTCCCACACGACTCCTCGTTCCAAGTCGTTAACGTAGTGGACCTCATCAAATATAACGAATTCCACATCTCTTATCAAGTCTGCGCCGCGATAAAGCATGCTCCTCAAGATTTCGGTCGTCATGATCAAACAACTGGCTTCGGGGTTTATCTGGACATCGCCCGTTAGAATCCCCACATCGTCGAACGTATTCCTGAAATCTCGGAATTTCTGATTGCTCAATGCTTTGATGGGAGAGGTGTAAATGGCTTTTGTCATATGCTTAGCGGCCAAGGCGATAGCATATTCCGCAACAACGGTCTTTCCCGCAGACGTATGGGCGGCCACGAAGACGGAGTCACCGTTCTCAAGGTGATAAACAGCCTCTTTCTGAAACGTATCCAGCTCGAACGGATATTCTCGAGCCATGTCCGGAACCAGGTCGTAAAAGTTCGTAATCTCCTTATTGACGTCCACCACATGGGCCCATTCTCTCCCCGCCTTCTTCGTTGACGCAGCCAGGAGATCTCCTCGAGGCTCCAAGGCCGGATATTCGACTGGAAGCAGAGAGTCAATATCCTCCTCGTCATCCGGCGTAAGACCTTCCTCAATCTCTTCTTCTCTCGACGGACCCTCAGCTTCATCGACCTCCCCAATCCCCCGATCAAGCTCACTATCATCCCGCTGCAACGCATCTTGCACAGCACTCGCATCCCTCTCAGCCTCAACCGCCTTCTCCTTCTCAAAACTCAGGCCCCTCGACAACCCTGGCGCAACCTCCAACAACCCCCCTTCCGCCCCAAACTTGATAATCCGATCCAACGACGACTTCCCCGCCGCCTCACTCACCCGCAGCTCTTCCGCCTGCACCTCAGACTCCAGCGCCGAAATCGCCTCCACCCCTTCTAAACCCCCAGGCTCAAACGGATAAAACCCCGCCGCACCCCTCACAAACTCCGCCCGCCCCGCCGGCCGTCTGCGGAGCGACGTCGAGTTCTTCGCCGTCGCGCTACCCGCGGGGACGGTCACCTCGCGATAGCTCGTCACTCTCCCCTCCAGACCCTCGCGAGTGAACCTGACTACCGTGCGCGTCTGCGTGGGCGCCAGCTCAAACAAGTCCGTGTAGTCGACCGGTGTGTCCCAGCGCTGCTGGAGCCGGTTGAGCCATTCCGCGCTGAATCTTGGCGATGGGGTCAGGAACTCCGCTTCGAGCTCGCGCTTGAGTTCTTCGGCGGATTGCACGGGGCGTGTGCGTCGGTTGGCTTGGGTGTGGCTGCTGGTCATCCAGGCGTCGAGGTCGCCGGCTTCTGCATCCAGGGTTTGGGCGTGGAGGCGCACCTGGTGCAGGGCGGCCACGAGGTCGTTGGCCATCTTTTTTGGGCTATTGTTTTTTCCACCTGGTTTTGTTTCCGGTGGTATATTGCTTCATTATCTATGTATTCATAAGGGCTATTCAGGATGGGTCGTCCTCGTTAGGATGCTCCGTCGTCGTGCATTGGAAAGTCTCTTGAAAGATGACGTTGAAAAGGATCAGGCAAGCTAAAAGCAGCAACCCAAATTGGCTGATCACACAAACAAGCATCAAAGAAACAATCTCAATTGATATCTATACGACGCAACAACAGAGCTGGGTGAATCAAATTTGAGATCTATAAGGAGTTTGGTCGTCAAAAACTCATGGGTATATTCATTTGCACTTGATAAAACTACCTAGCCAATCCATTAAAGCCTGCCGTCTGCCATGCCTTGCCAGAACCCCTGTTGTGATCATATATAACTAGCTGTTTGGTTCGTAAAATCGTTTGCCGTTAAAAGGAGGCCCAAACACCTTCATACCCATGATCCAAAAGATGCCATGATCGTAAAATAATGAATGCGCGAAAAATTCCTGAAGCCTATATTTTTGCCAGCCCATACTCCATAAAAACATAAAAAGTCCCAGAAAGCCGAAAATCAGAATGCTCCATCGTAACCCTCTTAGTCCTGAATCCCCGACTTGTATTTAGTTAGCGAGGAAATCACCGGCATGAGATCCCGGGAAAGGTCTTCCGATCCTGGATATTGATCTTGTATTCAAAGATACCTTCTTCGGTGCCGATATACCTGGACGACCCCAGTCAGACACCCATGATTGAGTTTCTCTAGTAATAGATTCACTTACAGCGTCCTGCCATCTTCACCCCATCCGACTCCCGCCGTCCCAACGCCAATTTGCTCTCGATTCGCCCGATCTGCGAAATCACCCCGCAGACTCCTAAACCGAGGATTATTGCGAAGCTGGTCAAATTCCATAAGCCGGCGGTACTGCTGCTCCCATTGATTAAGCCGCTGGCTTTCCTCGATGGCAGCGCGTCGCTGGTATCTCAGCCGCTCAGTTGCTACGTTGGTACGTAACTCAGAATCTTGAACACCGCGCGAATCTTGAGCTTCAGCCGTGGAAATGGGTAGTCTCTCGGAGCGACGCGGTATAGACCTAGCTCGTAGGCCACTTCTCCGTTGCCCACTGCCGTTTGCGGTAGAGTTCCCCAACTGTCGGTCGAAGAGCACGCGAGCCCGGGGTGCGGTGATTTCGGAAGTGCCCTCAGGCGCATTAGAGCTGGATCCGGCTTGTCCGTTGATATGGATAGTGGTGGTCGTGGGTACGTTGGTCGGCGTTGTTTCAAAGGGGGAATCTGAGAGTGGTAAGCGTGAAGGAGATGCAGTCCATCTCAGTGTGATGGTTGGGTGAGGTATCAAAGCTGAATTCGAGGAAGTTGATTGGCCTGACGCCGAATTTTCTTGGGATAAGACAACAGAACTACGTCGGCGCGGTTCATTTGTACGCGTGCGTTCTAAATTGCGGTCCCGGGGAGGCTCATGCCTCGAATGAAAATGATCTGGTGGTGAGGTTGAAAGCGGTGAATGGCGGCTACCGCGAGGAGGAGAGGCGTGGGGTATAGCCATGGGACTAACATATGAACCTCGCGGATAGCCTTCTTCAATCGACGACGCCCATCGGGCAGCATTCAAGAAATCGATGATTTGACGTTCCCTCGCGGTCAGATCTCGAGCTAATTCCTCGCGCATTGTTTGCGAGTCCTGGTGGCCGTCGTGTATTCTCCCCTGAGAGAGGCGCCCGGGATCTCTCGAGTCTTCTGGAGATCTGTCAGGTTCCCTTGAAGGGTCATTGTCGCTTTCCGACCCTGAACCTTCGCCATCGTCAATTTTGTCTAAGTTCTGAGTCCGTACGAGCTCGATTCCCTTTTCTTCCATGTTCAAATCGATGATCTGTCGACGGGAGAATGCCTGACGAATGTCTGCAACTCCCACTCGGCCATGATCTTCAACCCAGACGAGAAGGTCCCACGGCCTGGGCGAAAATGTCATACAACGCACTGCGCCGCCGTCAAAGAAAGACCGCGACGACCTAAAGACACAAAGAATCTCCTCGCCAGCTTTATGACTTTCAGAATCAGAATCCAAGATGCTATTCACATCAAAGACGGTAATGACACCACCCTGTGACCCAACTGCACAGAGGCTGCTACTTGGCGAAAAGGCAATAGTGAAGCAACACTGATCATCATAATGGGGGTCAGAGTCAAGTACAAATTCTTTGATCAGGGTCCACTTCCATTCATAAAACCACTTCTCTAGACCCGGGGCAGGAACGGAGTCGCCGCGTAACGGTAGGGCGCGATAGAACCAGACTTGGTTTGCGTCCCCGACAGCCGCGAGGACCTTTGAATCGGGGGACATAAGGGCGTAGTTCATACAGATTGGATGGCGAATGGTGTCAAGCATTTCCTGCCGCGAGAGAGAGAAGATGCGGATAGACTTGTCATTGTTGCTATCCCGTTCTGCATTAGCATATATGCCGGATTGCGTCAGCGGAGGTGATTGGGTGTACCTGAGAACTGCAATATCTTCATGGGCGAAGAGGTCATCCTGCGCTGGGAGTCGATGGAGGGTCATGGAATTGACAATACTACCGCCAAACTCCTGAATAATTACCTCTACCACTAGTGTTAGCGATTGTGATCAGCCACCAGCTCTGCGAAAGCGAACTTACCGGGCGCACGCGGGGGCAGATTCCGGAGGGCAGGATCAAAGTCAAGAGGAAGTGGAGAATCGATTCCACTTCCAAGCGCACTCGCTCTGGTTCTGGGAGAGGAAATGCCGCTGGAATCGCCCAATTTGATGAACGCGCAGTCGCCGTTCTCACTGCCGCCCACTCCAATCCAGCCCAACGCAGCAGTCAAGCATTTTGGCTCGAAGGGGACGACGGTTACGATTTCACGTTTGCGAGAGGAAATATGGATGGTATAAATGATCCTGCCCACGGCAACGTAGATCTTATCTGGATCGGCGGTGCTGATGTAGTGGCGGAGCTGGTGGTGTCTGTATCCTCTTGTCAGCGAACCGAAGGGCGACGATGGCAGATTCGATCCGGGGGTGGGCTGCTGCTCACGAGTTTGGGATCTTGAACGGGAAGAACCGGCGATGGGAGGGGAGGATCAGAGAATCGGTGGGCTGATAACTAAGTAGCCAAAAGAGAGTGAGCAGACTGCATGGCGGTAGTGATGGGTGGCAGGGTTGTGCAACTGACAGTAATGCAGCGTCGAGCGTCATAGTCTCTCTGGGCGGGCACGAGAGCTATTACATGGATGGTGGACAAGGCACAAGACAGCGATGTGTAGATGGAGCGTGTTAAAAGGCAACTGAGCTGGACGGTGGCAGCGCAACTTCGGTCCTCACTGTAGCAAAGCAGCGCTGACATCAAGACGATCCAACGACCTCAGCGTTTTCGATGACGGCAGATGGCGAGCAGCAAGCAGGAAACTCAATCCTTCAGCGGAGAAGATTGGGGCGAGGAACGAACTAACTAGCGAACTTACGCTGTCACGAACGAATAGCGGTAACCGTCGGGCTGGCTCACGTTGTCTCGAAGACAACGGAGCACGGCTAACCAACGACTGGACGCGGCCGGCATCAAATTGCATGTGCGACAAAGCCACGAAAGGTCCATTTCTCTTGATCTTCTTTCTCACCTTTGCGCCCCCGACCTGCTTCTCTCGGGCTCAGGGGTTCAGCTCGCCCGTCCAAAGCTTCAGCACCCGGTCAATACAGCCCAAGCTCCCATGTGTAATTTCGATTCCACCAAGCTGTGGCTGACTCATCCTACATAGCAGCTCTGGTCCGTCAACACTCAACAGTAGACAGGGTAAACACGACGAGATCACTTGCTGGTGCTGACTGGGACATGCTCACTTCTCTCCAGATGTGCAGTCCTCAACCCAAAAAGCACTCCCGGTCCTCCATATCTCGCCCTCAAAATGCCTGGATGCACCAGTGTCACGTGACCCGGATTCGATGAAATTCGATTTCCATCCATAACCGCGCTAGTCCCAGAGCGGCCTGGCGCCCTGTTTTATCTTCTGAACCGCAAAATTTCTTCGCCAGAAATCCTTTTTTCCTTCTTCATCAGCAACATCCAGCTTTCCTCCCTTCCCATCCTTTAGACTATATCTCCTCCTTTCTTCTGCTGTATTTCTAGTTTAATTCAGTCTTTGTATTTCGCTTGGAATATCCAAAAGTTCATAATGCTCTCTTCTCGATTGTCTCGCGCGGTACGTTCTGTCTCTTGCTCTTTGAATGGCTCCCGACTGACTGCAGAACAGCTCCCTCGCGCTACCTCATCGTTCGCCCGCTCTAATGCTTTCAAGATTCCCTCCACGGCTTTCAGAAGATGGGAATCCACGGAGAGCTCCGAAAAGGTCAAGGGCGCGGTCATCGGTATTGATCTTGGTATGCATCCCTTCTCCGTCTTGGTTGCTTGCCAGACCACAGAGCTCCGATTGGACTCGGCCAAGCAATGCTAACCTTGCTGATAGGCACAACCAACTCTGCCGTTGCTATAATGGAAGGCAAAACCCCAAAAATCATTGAAAACTCCGAAGGTAAGCAGATTTTTTACTGCCAAGCATATAGCTTGATGCTGACGGCAATCAGGTCAACGAACTACCCCATCTGTTGTTGCGTTCACAAAGGAAGGCGAGAGACTTGTCGGTATTGCTGCCAAGCGACAGGCTGTTGTCAACCCAGAGAACACCCTTTTTGCCACGAAACGTCTCATCGGACGAAAATTCTCTGATGCGGAGTGCCAGCGCGACTTGAACGAAGTCCCTTACAAGATTGTCCAACACACTAATGGTGACGCTTGGGTTGAGGCTCATGGCCAGAAATATTCTCCCTCTCAAATTGGTGGATTTGTCCTTCAGAAGATGAAGGAGACCGCCGAGGCCTACCTGAACAAGCCCGTGAAGAACGGTGTTGTCACCGTCCCCGCCTATTTCAATGACTCTCAGCGCCAGGCTACCAAGGATGCTGGTCAGATTGCCGGTCTCAACGTTCTTCGTGTCGTTAACGAACCCACTGCCGCTGCCCTCGCCTACGGTCTTGAGAAAGAGCAAGACCGTGTGGTCGCTGTCTATGATCTTGGTGGTGGTACCTTTGATATCTCCATTCTTGAAATTCAAAAGGGTGTCTTCGAGGTGAAATCTACCAACGGTGATACCCATCTTGGTGGTGAGGACTTCGATATCACTCTCGTCCGCAACATCGTTCAACAATTCAAAAAGGATAGCGGTCTTGACCTCTCGGGAGACCGGATGGCCATCCAGCGCATTCGTGAAGCTGCTGAGAAGGCCAAGATCGAACTCTCCTCCGCTCTGCAGACCGATATCAACCTTCCTTTCATTACTGCCGATGCCTCTGGCGCCAAGCATATCAACACGAAGATGACTCGCGCCCAATTGGAGTCTCTCGTTGATCCTTTGATCTCAAGGACTGTCGAGCCTGTGCGCAAAGCATTGAAGGATGCTAACCTCCAGGCCAAGGACATCCAAGAAGTCATTTTGGTCGGTGGTATGACCCGTATGCCCAAGGTCACCGAGTCCGTCAAGAGCATCTTTGGTCGTGACCCCGCCAAGTCCGTCAACCCAGATGAAGCTGTTGCCATTGGTGCTGCCATCCAGGGTGCTGTCCTTGCTGGTGAAGTTACTGACGTCTTGCTTCTCGATGTTACTCCCCTCTCCCTCGGTATCGAGACCCTTGGTGGTGTCTTCACCCGATTGATCAACCGCAACACCACCATTCCCACCAAGAAGTCTCAGACATTCTCTACTGCCGCAGACTTCCAGACTGCTGTCGAGATCAAGGTTTACCAGGGTGAGCGTGAACTTGTCAAGGACAACAAGCTGCTTGGAAACTTCCAGCTTGTTGGCATCCCTCCCGCGCACCGTGGCGTTCCTCAAATCGAAGTCACCTTTGATATCGATGCCGATTCCATCGTCCACGTCCACGCCAAGGACAAGTCTACGAACAAGGACCAGTCTATCACCATTGCTTCTGGCTCCGGTCTCTCCGACTCGGAGATCCAGAACATGGTTGAAGATGCCGAGAAATTCCGTGCCCAGGATAGTGAGCGCAAGGCTGCCATCGAAGCTGCCAACCGTGCCGACAGTGTTCTGAACGACACTGAGAAGGCTCTTAAGGAATTCGAGGACCGCCTTGACAAGACGGAAGCCGACCAGATCAAGGAGAGAATCGCCACTCTCCGTGAATTCGTTGCCAAGAGCCAGTCTGGCGAAGGCACTGCCACCGCTGAAGAACTCAAACAGAAGGTCGATGAGCTCCAAACCGCCAGCTTGACCCTCTTCGACAAGATGCACAAGGCTCGTCAGGAGGAGACCAACCAACAGCAACAATCCCAGGCTGGCGAATCCTCTGGCGAAGAGAAGAAGCCATGAACGTCTAAATCGGTATAAATGAGCTGACAAAGTATCACGTTTACCGGACTCGATTGTTCAAATCTTTGATCATGTCGTGGATGTCTTCATTCATCTTCTTCTCCTTGTCTTTCACATCTAGCCTTTTTATTTCCTCTTCTTTCTTATACCTGTAAACATACAAGCTTTGTTTCCATGTTTTTCCCGCTATGTACGGATATACATCTATGGGGTGCTGGAGTTCATTTTTGGGGGAGTTAAATTTGAGCCGCTTTCTCTCGTGCAAAACGATCTTTAATGCATGGGTTTAGGAAAGGATGGGAGTTCAAGGGCATTTCTTGATGGGCAAAAGAGGTTCAGGCTGGCCCGGTCAAAAGAAAACGGATTGATACTCGATACTCCCGCATTTAATTTGTCCGCTCACTCTTCTACCTCTGCTTCGAGAATCCTGTTTTCGGAGCGGGTTTGAGGTTGTCTGTGGCATTTAGGAATTCTCCTCTCTTGATGTACATTTATGAAAGCTGTGTTGATGAAATCATTATTACATATTTTCAACATTTTAAATCCCTCTCCACCGCCTTTCTTTCAGCTTGCCAGAATCCAAAAGATCTAGTGATGCAATCAATCATTCACGTTGAACATGATGATCAGGTCGGAATAATTATCTACTTGACTCTATATTCATGCATTTCCCATATCTGTACCTAGTCCCTCAGCACAAGTACGTGCACAACATATCCCGACCCCGTTCTCAACCCCTGACCCAAAACCTCATCTTTAACCCTCCACACCGCAAACTCCGCCAAAGACTCTCGCAACCAACCCTCAAACACCTCATGCGCCCGCAGCTGCTGCGCAACGATGCACAGAGTCGGCCTCATACCCGTTTCAGACGCAGCCATATACGCCGCAAGCGACGGCCGTTGCCTGGCGATATCCGCACACGTCTGCACGAACGGGGCAATGAGCGCATCGTTGTAAACGCAGTCGCACGCCAGAAGCACATCGAACCCATCTTCCACAGTGCTGATGGGCCCAGATAGCGCGTCAGTCTCCCAGTCCAGAGGGACGAATCTGATTTTCCTCTCCGCTCCGGCTGGGCTCTGGCTCGATTCGGCGGAGCGCGCATGGTGCCTAGAGCGCGAGCGGGACTGAGATGGGGTCTCTGCGGCGGGTTTGCGTCGGGATTTCTGCTGGCGGTGGCGGGTGGTGCGGTCCTTGTGGTGGATGGCGTGTTGGTTTTGCTCGATGTTCTCGTGGAATAGCTTCCGGACGTATTCTTGGTCAGTGGCGATGTATTGGCCTATTGATGGGGCGAGTGAAAGGGCGAGGACGCCCGCGACGCCGCAGCCCAGCTCTATGGCTGTGGAGTGCTGATGGAGAAGAGATGATTCCCATAGGATATTGGTCCCGGAGCAAAGCCATTGTGCAAACAGGGGAGTGATTTTCCAGAGGACTGTCTCGGGTCTCCCCGCGGAACGTAATCAGCCAGTCTGCGAATAGCACAGAAGAAAAAAATCAAATCCGAAGATTGATCAATCTTAAGGAAGCAATCAACACACCTGCCCCTGTAGTCCCGCCCGCTCGCTTGGAGGAGAGCACTGCCGGGGATTGATGGACGGTAAGCTCCCGGCCATGCACCGATATCTCGACGGTTTGTGACTGGGAGTCCAAGAAGCCAAGATTCTGTGAAGGGATCTCCTGCGAGAAGAGAAGGAAGGCTTCTATTTGGATTTGTTACAATGATTATCCACTGCAAGGTCTAGCGGTCTACTTCCCTTCCTCCGCATCATCTACCTCATGACCAACTGCAGCGAGAAAGTGGGAGAACTGCATGGTTGGCTGTCAAGGATGCAAAATAACCTTGTTTGCAAACCGCATTCTAAATTTCGAAGCTGTGTCCACTGTCCAGAGCTAATCGTTTCATGTAACTATGGCATCACATAACAATGCAGCAGAAAAAAAAAAATAATACCAAGCCTTAGATTTGAGTTCAGCAGCACAGTTAGTTATCAGCAAAGCATACTCCGTATTACTCCAGATATGTGTGTACATCCGAGCAGATTTGTAAGAATGAAACTTATAAAATGCTCGTTCCCCCATATTAGTTGTTCAACCCAGGGCAATTTATCTACATCAAGCTTCCGCAGTATTTGCTGTTCTGAGTTACATGGGGCAGACACACCGTGTGGCTGCTTCAGCACTGCATTGGCGGCCCGGATACGAGATCGCCATCCACGGGTCACTCGATCGCCCGCCGAGCTTCCATTAAACCGACAAAGAGGGATCTCAATGCCCAAAGAGCATTTCACGTGGCTGAATTATGCTGATCATCTTTGCTTAAAAAGAGCAATGCAAGACTCCGATAGGGCCTGCGAGTTTTCGACAGGAGACGATGACCCCGGTTGAGTAAATTAAGAGCCAGGGAGGTCGAAAACCTCCGATTTCCCCCAGGCATGAAGGCTCATATAAAAAGGCCATGAAGAAGCACTCCAAACAGGTTGATCATAGTGAGCAGGCAGGGTGTTGAAGGAGCATTTCCGTTCCCCTTTCCCTCCGTATAACCTCTCTTTTGCAAGGCAGAGGCAATTCCTAATCAGCTACCATGAAGCTGAACACCCTACCTTTGTTCTTCCTGGGCTTCTTCTCTCCTCCCGCCCTCTCGGCGCCGGTTGAGTCAGGCACCACGGCGGCTTCGCTCTCCACACGAGCAGACGCATGTACCGTAGCGTTGACAGACCAATACATGTTCAAAGACCCCATCACGACCTTCCAAAGCCACCGCAACGCCAAACAGCCATCCTGCTTCGACTGGAGCTCCGACAATTGCACCAGCTCACCCGATAAGCCGGTGGGATTCAACTTTATCCCCTCATGTCAGCGCCATGACTTCGGCTACCGCAACACGAAGAAGCAGGGCCGCTTCAACGAGACGATCAGGAAGCGGATCGACGACATGTTCAAGAGTGACCTGTACAAGGAGTGCAGCCAATATTCAGGCTGGGAGAGCTGGAAAGGCGTGAAATGCAGGGAGATCGCGAACGTGTATTACGAAGCTGTGCGACGGTGCGGCGACGGGAACTGCTTGGATAAATAGCAAGGAAGCCTGGACTAAGCGATTGGATATGAATTTCTCTTCATAATGAACGTTGCGATATAACAGAGTACGGAGCAATTGGATGTTTGCTCCTTCAACTGTGTTTGTTTTGCAGCCAAACAAAGAACAGACGTGATTATGTAATTTGTCTCAACCAATGATATCTCTAGCTGCCCAGCCGCCCAGCTCAGCCAATGATAGGCCTGGGATGGCCGCTGACTCACCCAAGCTTTTGCCAAGGCCGGGCTTCTTCTTCTGGCAGCCAGACGTCGCTCTTCAGATCAAGAGATGATGGACGTGCAGCAAACCTGAGATCACTCGAGAAGCAAGCTCTCATCGATCATCTCAGCCGTCCAAATATACCCTCCAATCACCTTGAAGTTGGGCCCGGTGCCCAGGAATCTCAAACAAAACGCGTTTTCGCCCCCACGCAAAGCTTGAGAACTGCTATGTTTGATACACGCTCCCATTGGTGTGAGAGCTTTGAAGCTCGATCTGCCCAGCTCCACGGCCTCGACTGCTGAATTGTTCTAGATTCTGGAAGACGGGGATACCTATGAACAGTCCCAAAATAGAGTGGCAGGGCCCTCAAACACGGGAAGATGGGACTTTGACCCACTCTCCGCTTCAGAGCTCAGCAGTCAAGGGACACTGTGTGGATAGGAGCTCTTCCGGTCTCCCTACGCGCCGGAGCGGAGACCAGATTTCAAGCTGGCTCTACGTGCAAAGGCTGGATCTCTCCACGTCTTGTCGATTGGCGTGCCTGGATCTCAAGGAAGTTGAGCTTCGTTGCTCCCAATTGGATGCAACAGCGCATCTTCAATCAACACCCCAAACAACTACAAACAGCTCCATGGTGAGATCAGCAAAACTAACCAGTGACCACAATGCTGGACCTTTTTAGAATTCTAGAAGTTGAGCATCTGACGATATATAAACATGTGCGATGGACTGTTTTCATTCCATCTTGTTTTCTTCATCAGCAATCAAAAAGCAACTTTCCTTTTGAGTCATTTCCTTTGCCTCATTTCCTATCTCTTTTCTATATTTTTCTTCTTTTGACTTCTCCCTCTTCTTGGTTGAAAAGTTTATCATTGTGCCATTACTTATATACTTCAATTCTTGTCCGTTGACCCATTCCCTCCTATCATTTTCTTGGACTGAATTGACTCTGGAAGTCTCTTCCCGCATTTATCCTGATCCCTCATTTCAAAGGGGCTCCCTACCTTGATCGCCGTTTGACACATTAACGATCGTTACCATTTCCTCTCATTTATCCTGTGACTTCAAAATGGCCGGCTCTCAATACGGGGCGATTGGCATGACCTTCAAGGTCGTCCGTATGCTTCAGGCAGTGTGTCTCATTGCAATCATCGGCATGACCGCCAACTTCATCTCCCAGATGGTATCAAGCAGTACTAGCCCCCCTGAGGTTCTCGTCGGTACTCTCAGTGTGGTATGTGGGAACTTGACCCTTCCTGTCCAAAATGGCCATTCGACTAATTTGTCGCACTCTAGACTTGTATCGCGGTCCTATACTGCGTTATTACGTTCATTCTTTTCATCGACAACATTCTTCCATTCCTTATCAACACCGGACTAGACGGCCTTCATCTAATCGCCGTGATCGTCGTCGCCGTTACTGTCGGAAAGCCGCTATCGTATGTAAACTGCAACGTTCTCGGAAAGGTATCAGGTGATACATCGTCAGCATACAGCTTCGCAGCCGCTTTGGGCGCAAGTCTTGCCAAAGATGGCAATAAGATCAGTTACACCCACTGGATTGGCGCTTCGAAACCTAACTGCCTTGAAATGAAGGCTATTTGGGGCTTGAGTATTGCTCTCTGGTAAGCACTCAATCGCCGTCAATGTGCGGCTGAGTAACGGGGATGTTGCTAACGCTAAGTCAAGCATTTTATTCGCACTTTCAGCCACTTGTAGTGTTGTGATGTGGCGTCAGCAGAAATCGGTGCCGCCCAAGGACATTGAAGGTTAAACCGCCTCTGTACACAATCCCTTTCGACCTGACCACGGGAATCGTTTCTGAGATTAGTTGGCTTCGATAACATCCTCATGTACTGGCTTTTTTGTTGAAACAGCTTTGCGCTCCTTCGCTTTGGTGGAAACCCCTCTTCGATTTTTGGTTTGCTGATAATCCTGCCGTTTCGCGTTTGTATTGCTATTTGGAACCTCGCCTGATGGCGAGAATAATGATAATTATCAGAAGCATTTGGGAATGGAGTTATCGGGCTGCAAAATTTTTGCCACAAGACTTTTAGCAATGATAAAAAATCCCTTGGTTGGGCAACCTTCATTTCATAAAAAGTCAAAGCCGAAACGTGTTTCAACTACGCAATATCAATGAGATCAAGTGAACTAATTCGTATTCATCGGATATTAAACCTGTATATGTACTTTATACCCAACCATTCATGCATATGTATCATCAAAATATAAACAAATAACCTCCCCTCCCCCCGCAAGCGCACCAACCCGATAACCGCGGGATAGCCACAAATTCAAACGCTACCACTCCCAAGGAGTGAGTTCCCGGCCTTGGCCAATACGTAGATCGGAATCATGACACTCCAACCGAAGAGGCCTGTCCGCACGTAACTTAGAAACTCCGATCGGCCACCAACGTAGGCGGCTGTATACAACAATCTCACACCAAGGTACTCGGCCGCTAGTATATTGAGCTCTTTTGAAGGGAGATCTCTCATGTTTCCCACGATCTATATGTTCTGGTCAGAAGTCTTGTGGGGAAGTTTGACACGATAGTATGCTGGGGACTTACCATTGCAGTTGCAAAGAGTGGAAGACTTTCAAGCGCATTGAGATGGGCACCGCGCAGACGGCAAAGCTTGTTAAACGTATCTTCGGGGATTTTGCCGCGGAGAGTATTGAGATTCTCACGGGGTCTGTTGGTCAAGGTTAGTATATAGGAGAATAGGGAGAGGTGCGTGGAGGAACATACGTGAGATTCGAAGTCTTCCAGTTCGTGGCTCGCATCATTTTCACAAAATAAATGCCATGGGGTATGATGCCTAGGAAGTAGGCGCCAGCAATGGAGTGGTATGTCCAATTGTTTGTGTTTGCCGACATGATGCTAGAGGATAGACGAAGTACGTTTCGCGCAGGTTTGAACAAGCAATCAGAGTCCGAGAAGAGAGATAAGGCGCGCTGGATTCTTTTTTGGTATCCTATGAAGGGAAGAGAACGGCTTCTTGGATTGCATGGCCGGGTGTCCTACTGGAGGAAGAAGCGGGTTTATATACATGCCTGGACGCCAGCGCATTTTCGGCATTATTTTCGCCTGGTGATACTAACATCATTCCTTTTGGGGACAGTAAGGCCCGGAGACATTCTCTTTGGTGTAAAAATAAGTTCTGGTGACAGTGCGGGATTTCGTTATGTATGCTACAGCTCTAACTTGGGCATAACGTTAAACCCGAGGGAAATCGCCGACGCCAGTTGCAGCCAAGGGCCCCCGGTGCTTAGTTTATCTCTGCGTCTCGTCAACTTCTGTCGTCATGGTCGAGGAGAGCTAACGTTGTTGTCGCACTCTCTTCCCATCATTCGCTCCGAGATATCATAAGGCCCTGTCAGGGAATGCGTGCAAGACGTAGCACCGGCCTGGGGACCCTAATAGCCGCCATATCGGCCGCTATAGTTAACTCGAGGCCCTTCTCGAACGGCGCAGCAACGCTGCATGTGATTGAGATGCGGAGATTCCAGCTCTGATCCCCGAGAAGCACGTCTATTGTAGCATTTCGTATTTCTTTTCTTTTTCAATTCGACCTGCATGGGATTCTCCAGACGAGAACTCGAGGATCTGGAAACATCCGGAATCTCCAAAGACGATTCGCTCAATGCGGGATTATGTTGCCGGCCCATTGATTTGATCAGGGACTATAACGAATACGCTTGGGACTGTCCTTTGTCCGCGTGTGCGCGAATTTCACTTTATGCATGCTAGGACGGGTCAAATGGTGAATCGTGGGCCGTTGATTTCACTCTTCGGACCTTGATTATTGATCACTGGTATAAGAGTTCTTCCATATCTTTGGGATAGCAGCTAACCTGGAGCAGCTTATAGGTCCCGGTGGTAGAAAAGTGCGTGCGACGTCACTGTATGCGCATGGATCCTATGTAGTTTTCGTTGCCTCGCATGCGTTCATATTGGCTCTACAAATGACGCCTAACCCGGCTATTCAAAAGACAGAAATCGAACTGGTTTGGAGTTGACTCTTGAATTTCCTTGTTGCTCGATCGACATCTCTGCTGTTAACTAACAGACAAAATTCCTATCCCAACCATCGTGTAATCGAACATTTGAGCCCGGCCGCCAGGAACTTGCGCCATTTAAAACCAACCAGCCTTTCTTCAACCCCAAAACCCGGTGTGGTTCTGCTTGCCGTGACCAACCCACACTGATTACCCTTCTAGTTATCCAACGCCGCAGATTCATGTCGCCAGCCGCCAGCATGGCACAGGCTGGGACCCGGTTATGCTACCTTGTCGTCAACCCGGCAGTGTGTCCCAGCGGCTGAACATATCACTGAGTGTGCGAAACAACCTTGATGGATGGGGTTCATGACGGATTCTTCGAGAGTGTGTTATGCCCTACATTATTTCGTGCTACTTTGGTGAAAACGCTGGGATCAAAAAGCTTGTCGATACATTATAGTGGCTTTACGCTGGCATTGACCAATTTCCCGTCTCAACAGACTCGCTACGGTTAACTACTATGTTACCCGCTAATTCCAAGAAAGCAGAGGCAGAATGCGTTCTTTGCGGAGCGCTCAAGTCACTATGCCTGGCATGTCTCATGGGCCGACGTAACGACGTCGATGGTGCCGCCAGCTTGCCCCTATCCAACATCAGGAATGCTGATTCCGACCTGGATGCTCGGGGAGGATCCCGCCAGGTCAGTGCGTAACCGTTAACAACCCATCCTCATGCTTATTCCCTTGCTATTGGTGTGACAACCAGCTGATTCTCGGTCGTCTCTGGTGGTGCGCGAAAACACCTGAGGTAAAGAAAAGGGAAAAGTGGCGATGAAAACAGGCAGTGTGCTGGGACTTAGTTCCGTATCCAACTGAAGCCGAGTAGTCAATTGAGTTTGAACTTGCGATTATCCGCCAGAAGAACGATATTACCGGCCACATATAGGCTCGTTAAGAGCGATCATGTCCAATAATGGTTTCATAGTGGGACAGACTCAATTATTATTGTTGAATGCAGAGGCATCTAGAAGAAAACGGAGCATGGTCACGGATTGATCCGTAGATTAGGGCCAAAACAAAATATTAATGGATGATCTCAGCACGCTCTATCGGCTCCGTCGACGGTTACTGCTTGAACAGAATTTTGCTCCAATCAAAGCCAAACGGACAATGAACCCATCCCCGTACAAAGTGATACCAAGCGTCTTCCTGCCGTACGTTGGCCACGGGATCACCGGAATCAGGCTGGTTCGACGCTCCTTTCCTTAACCAGCTCCTATCAGACATAGTTATCCAAACCCAATGACAGCTTCGACATGCAGCTGGTACATATAAAGGGGCCCAATTGACTGCACCCGGAAGGTATCAACACTTGGTTATACATCCGCGTGATGCAAAAAGCGCGTCACCTTCCGCACATTGGCGAATACCAGTATTTTCCTTTTTAAGGAAATTACAATCAAGGAAGATAAGCCCAGCCGGGTGGTTTTTTTTTGTGCGGGATGCGATGGCGTTAAAAGCAAAGATTAAGATCCTGAAGAGATTGAAAGCCCCCTGAAATGGACTGTTTCCAGTAATCGGGAGATAATTTCTGAAGTACCTGCTCGGTATCCATGCAGGATTCCTTTCCTATCAGGGGGGAAACTAATCCGGAGATAAAGTTGTTTTGTGCGAGCCTTTTCTCGCGATTTCATTATCTCACAGGGCCAAGTTGCGTTTCGAGCTGCTTGTGAACCGATACTCATGGTAACCGGTTCGTGCAATGCCGGTGGTTCTCTTTGTTCCCATAACGATTTTCCTAATTTACAACTCTAGTACTTATTAAGAGACAGCCCTCGCATTTCATCATGCTAATCGACTCTGGGAAGATAGCCTGCCGTGCCCTCTATCGCAATTGTCCCCGCACTATTCTACGCGCTACAACTCTGCAATCACTTGACATGCCATGCTGCGCCATGATTTACCCAGTCCTTTATTCGAATTTGCTAGATGTCGCTGGCGAATGGGCCGGCTTTGATGCGGACTGGTTGCTGACTGTGATTGATCATGTGTGAGTTGCCGGCGAAAGCTTGGGCAAGACTGCCAGTAGCTCGATCGCCTGGCTGTTACTAAGGAAAATGGCGACGGAGCCATGGAACAAGGTGGTTTATAAGACTTGAATGCAAGTCATGGTACGCATCTGCTTCTTTCGAATGTGCCTTTAGCTTACCGTGATAGAGCAATGATGAACTTGATTACGGGGTAAAATGAGAAGACTACTGTCCGCGGTAAGTTACAAGGTCGATTGATATGCGCCTCAAGAAAACACGGGTCTGGTAAATGGCGATGGTATTGCGCAATACTTGGAAGGATTATTTCCATTAGGTGACCATAGGGGCCAGTAAACCTGCACTGGATCCGGGCAAATCCAAAAATGATATACTGCCTTTAGGAGAACATTTCATCATAAGGCTCATCAGATAGCGATAGAGCCTGGTGATCGATTCCCTCGCTTTTACTACGTTGGTTAAGATGATTTGTTCTTCATTGATGTGATCATTACCATAAATCTGCCTCGACTGGAGGTGATATCGCCCACGAAAGGAGAGAATTTACGCTGAGGGAGCCTGATACCCGCAGCTGTTGGCTGGACTCAAAGGAGTCACACAACTGGCCTCCATCGACCACATCCCACTCCTGGCCATTATCTTCACAGAGTGCTCTTGTTATGAGGATGCTCCTTCGCCAATTTCCCACGGCAATGGATTGCGAGCCCGCATATTCTCCGTTGATGGGCGGTCTATCTTTAACCCCGGGTGTGGCCGCTAGAATTGCCCGGGTCCAGGGTCAAGCAGGATCCCAAATCACAGGGGTGAGCGAAATGAGTTCGGCGTCAAGGTAGGATTGATCAGTTCTGGGCGAGACACTGGACAGGATATCGTCGCGCTGGAGTGGGCCTTGCTTCGAAGCTCGTATAGCCTCTGAACGGACACTGGGACGTGCTGTCTTGCGAACAAATAAGGGAATCTGCGTGCTGCTCGCAGAGCTGAGGAGCACAACAGCAGAGAATCGATCCGATTTGAGTCGGGCGCGTGGAGGGCTGACTGACGATGGGAAGGGGAACATCAGCGGGAGATAATTAAACTCAAATGCGTCTGGAAACAAACCAGAAGGCGCGCTAATGTTTACTAAGCCCGCTTCCCTGACGATCTGCACTTTAAACGATCGTCAATGTCACCTCCGCTTTTCGCCCTCCAGACGGCGTGTGGAAGCTCAGGGAACAGACACCCTCAGCTCAGTGCGATCAGCAAGACAAGCAACTATGTGACACAGGGTTGTTTGCAGCTCGGGAATCACAACTCCCAGCCCGCACAGAACCAAAGAGTCGTCCATTGCCAGCCTGAGCAAGGAAACCCGGGGGGACAGTCATGGCGGAGTGAGGAGACGGACCACTTGCCGAGTCAACCTCCGTTTCTACCCTCAGCGGCAAACAGAGAGACACGACGGGAACTGCCAGAGGAGAACCGATCCGGGGAACCTGATGTTACATCCTCTCCATTCTGCGCGATTCGCCAAGGCTCACCAGGTCCGCTTCGCTCACTGAACATCCTGGGAAGAGAGACCATGCCCTGCAGGACAAGAATGCGAATTTGCCTGCACGGACTGTGACGTCTGGGGCTCCCAGTCATTGATAAAGCTGCTGCTTCCCCCGGGTTCCCCTAACTTTCCCACGGGTCTGTTCTGAATCCAGCAGTTTCCGCGACAGGTCTGGTAGTTGACGCACCGGATCTCAGGCTTCGTGAAGGGAGTTGCCTTCTCGAGTGGAATGCTCAATTGCCTCAATTGATTCCACATTCGTTTGAAGATGAAGGTATTGTGAACCTCATCCCACCTGCCATTGGGAAAGGCCCGTCAACGCTGATCAAATCACATAGCTCACTGCTCTCCTTGTCCTGGCAGGCGTTTGCCTCGCCATCGACCCGCCTCGCAAGCCATTCCCACCACGAGGTGGCGGCGACAAGGTTTTAACTTACAATGAGACTGTCACCAGGCGGGCCATCGCCCCGAGGTCCATCTCGGTCGACTGGATCGCAGGGAAAGAGGATGGGCAATATGTCTACCAAGGCAACGACGGAGCTCTCCTCATCCAGAACATTGTGACAAATTCCAACGATACTCTTGTCGGAGCCGACAAAGTGCCGGACAATGCTTACACCTACTTCATCAAGCCTGACCTTTCAGCTGTGATGTGGGCAACGAACTACAAGAAGCAATACCGACACTCGTTTTTTGCGGACTACCACATCCTCGATGTGAAGTCCGGCGAGCTCACTCCATTGGACAGGGATCAGAAGGGTGATGTCCAGTATGCTGCCTGGAGCCCCAAGGGAAATGTCATCGCATACGTTCGCAACAATAACTTGTTCCTCTGGAAAGACGGCGAGAGGACTCAGATTACCGAAGATGGCGGCCCAAATACGTTCAATGGTGTCCCAGACTGGGTTTATGAGGAAGAGATCTTTGGAGACCGATATGCATTGTGGTTCTCACCTGACGGCGAATATCTTGCTTACATGAGAACCGACGAAACCGGTGTCCCCACCTTCACGATTCCATATTACATGGATAATCAGAAGTTTGCTCCTCCATACCCAAGAGAGCTTGAACTCCGCTATCCCAAGGTGTCGCAAACCAACCCCACTGTCCAGTTCCGCCTCCTCAATGTAGAGTCCGCAAAAGGCAAGACTGTGGCCATCGATGCTTTTGAGGCCGACAACATGATTATCGGCGAAGTCTCGTGGCTGACTGATGGCCATGATGATGTCGCTGTCCGTGTTTTCAACCGTGTTCAAGACAGGGAAAAGGTGGTCTTGGTCAATGCTGAGTCTGGCAGAGCTTCCACTGTGCGGGAGCGCGATGGCACGGACGGTTGGATTGACAATCTTGTCGCGATCAATTACGTCGGCAGAGTGAGAGGCGGCCGAGCGAACGGCAGGGAACGGTACTATGTCGATATCTCTGATATGGACGGCTGGGCGCATCTCTACCTCTTCCCCACCGGGAATGGAAGACCTATTCAGCTCACGCGCGGTCCCTGGGAAGTCACTGCAATCCACCACATTGATACTGAACGTCAGTTGGTTTATTTCCAGGCCACCAAGCACCATAGCACAGAGCGTCACGTGTACTCCGTTTCATACAGCAATATGAGAATGAGGGCCTTGGTCAACGACAGTGAGGCCGGTTACTACTCAGCGTCCTTCTCCGCTCAAGGTGGCTATTATATTCTTAATTATCACGGCCCCGATGTTCCGTATCAGGAGCTCTTCGACGTCAAGAAGGGCAAGGCAATCCGAACGATCACAAGCAACATTGACGTTGTCAACAAGATCAAGGAGTACAAGCTTCCCCGAATTGATTACTTCACAATCACGCTTCCTTCTGGCGAGAATCTTAATGTGATGCAGCGCCTTCCAGTGAACTTTTCGCCCAGGAAAAAGTACCCTGTCCTGTTCACCCCATATGGTGGCCCTGGCGCTCAGGAAGTCAACAAAGCTTTCAAGGCTTTCGACTTCAAAGCCTATATTGCATGTGATCCAGAACTTGAATATATCACTTGGACCGTAGACAACCGCGGCACTGGCTACAAGGGCAGAAAGTTCCGCGCTTCAGTTGCTAAGAAGCTTGGCTCTCTTGAAGCTCAGGACCAAGTCTTTGCTGCCAAGGTTCTCTCCAAGTTCCCGTATGTCGACAAGGAGCGCATTGGTATCTGGGGATGGAGCTATGGAGGCTACCTCACTGCCAAGACCCTCGAAACCGACAGCGACGCCTTTTCCTTCGGCATCAGCACCGCTCCCGTATCTGATTGGCGATTTTACGACAGCATGTATACCGAACGATACATGAAGACTTACGAGTTGAACGAAGCCGGTTACAATGCCAGCGCCGTTCGCAAGCCCGAGGGATTCAAGAACCTCCGAGGAAGCCTCCTCATCCAGCATGGCAGTGGTGACGACAACGTCCACTTCCAGCACGCGGCTGCTTTTACCGACTTGCTCATGGGTGCTGGCATTTCGCCCGCGAAGATGACCGCCACGTGGTTCACCGATTCGGACCATAGCATTCGATACAACGGTAACTCTGCGTATCAATTTAAGCAGCTCGCCATGAAGGTGTATGAGGAGAAGCATAGGGACTTTGGCCAAGCCAAACACCAATGGTCCAAGAAGGCTTTGGAATTTGGTGCTTCCCTTGACGAATCGTAGATTCCCCCAGCCTTGGGCTTCTTCATTTTTAGCCTTCTAACGGGCAACAGGTGGAACTAATTAATTCTATCATTACTTCCCTTGAGCCCGTTCCGGGTTATACCCTTTTCCTTCGAATTGTAAATAGTCTTATGATTATCTATTTTTTGTCCTTACACTTTTCTACTCTATACGTAGGACCTAAATGACTGCAAGGGGGTAAGACATGGCCGACCATACAAGTAGTTTCCGTTACGGGTTTAACCGTTGAAAGTGATATGCCATTTCAATGATCGACAGGGACCTCCAATGTACATCCAATTTCGTGAGGTATCTATACTAGAATGGCTAAAGTATGTTCTATTTATACTTATTGCAGGGTATTTTGACTCAAAGCTAACAATATAAACAGGATCCGTTTCTACTCGCACATCAAACGGACACTTGGGGAGACAATATCTACTCAGGTCCCCAAAGATTCAGCTCCTCCTTATGTTCTCCTTCAAAGACGTTGGCCCAATACTGTTTGACACGGTCACATATGCCCGAAAGGTCTTTCCATGACTGAAATTTACCCTCGAGGTTACACGCCACCCATTTGATCTCCTCCCAATACGCCTTTTCAACATCATACTTGAATCGTTTAACGGTCGTCTCGTCAACTAGCCATGCGCGACCATCACTTCCGTCGGGTTTGTAGGTCGGTTTTGTCTCTGAAGAATTTGAGAATACGGTCGCGGGGTTAAATTTCGGGAAATGCGCGTGGATGAAAAACGCGCGCGTGGAACTGGGCTTCACGGGGCCCAGGGTGTTGGAATTCGAATTCCGTTGATGGTATAATTTGTAATCTTCAACCGGGTCGAATTGGGCCATTGCAGATCCGGCAATGTCACCGTTTGGTTTGCGATGTCCGATCGGCTGGACGGGTTCGCTGACGGTGTAAAACGGCTCGTTGGCGGCGGAGGCGGCCTGCACAAAGGTTTCTTTATCTCCCTCGCCCGGCGCACCCTGGGAAAGAAGAGAGAAATAATGCGACGGGCCGTAGTAGTTGTAATAGGTGGATAAGAGGAGGGTTGAATGATGATTCTTCTTCGAAATAAGAAATTCGCCTGTTTCGGAAGATGCCCGAATGTTAATGGAGGGCACATCGAGTTGAGAAATGAGGTAGTATTGCGGCGACACCGTTGAGATCCAATAATCCGGCCATACGACCATGCCTGTGCTCTTGTACGGCTCGGAATTAAGAAGCACTTCCGGCTGGTCCAGGGGAAAGCAGTCTGCATCGATCCAGACGACTTCCTCAAAAGAGGAAAAGAGCATCGCAAACACTTTGAGCTGATACTTTGCAACTTCAACCTTGGTTGAATTCGAGGCTGTAGTCTCCAAGATAGTCGAAAGAACGACACATCGTGCATTCAAAGCCGGGAGTACTTCGTTGCAAATGGCCGGCTCATACTCCGTCTCGTCTTTCAAGAAAAGCTCGACCGGGAGCTTGGAGCCGGTTCGACGTAGCATGCGAAGCCCAATGACAAAAACAGGTAGATATTTCCCTCCGGCAGCGTACACCACGCCCCTCGTCTTAGGCACATACGCCGGTCGCAGCTCGGGGGTTTCCCTGACCTTCTGAAGAAAGCGTGCATGGGCATCTCTCATCATCAGAATATCTTTGTCCGGCATTTCGATCAGGGCCGGACGCTCCAGCGGCATGCCGTCCACGAAACCAATCGCGCCGGTGCTGCCATTTCGGCTTGGGGAGGGACAGTCGGGTGCGGCGGATTCGAGAGCCGGGAGAAGAGCTTTCCAAAACGTGGCCTGTCGCTCCCTCAGCGAGTCGGCAGTCGCATGGCTATTCGCATCATTCCCGGGGGTGGTGATTCGATTTTTGACGGTCGCCGGGGTGCCGGGGAAAAGCAGCCAAAGGACAAGGATCAGCGCTGCGAAGGACAGAGCGATGACCCTGGTTGACAGGGCGGAGGCATTGAGCAACATGCCTTTTGGACAACGGCAATGTCTAATGCTCGCCGTTCATTGTGTCGCTTTTGATCCCAACCCTACTATCTCGTCCATTTTAGGGCTCCTGAAGCCCCTTTCCGGCTCGGGTTAGTCAGCATCAGAAGCTCGCCGGACAATCTTTAATCCCGTTATCTCGGGGTCTAACCAGATGCGGCATGGCGTGCATCGGCGACCACTTTCAAAAGCTTGTCGGCGATGACATCGACCTCAGGCTTCAGCTTGCGTTGGAACCTGGACCCCAACATCCGCACTCCCAAGGAGAACGCCGACGATGAAGAAAAGGCCAAGCTTTCGGGTACCTCAGCTCGAGCCCTGGAACGCCCGTCGCTTGCCATGGACGAATGAAATCCCTGCCAGCTTCGTGTTCTGTCGCCTTGGCCAGCATGAAGTGGTGCAGCTGGAAGCATGGCTTCACAATGTCGAGCAGGGCAGTATGGTGTTACGGACACTGGCCCAAATTGCATTTATAGACGGGTCTATGCCCGCTTTTTGATCGGGGCCATCCGTGCTTAAACGCCGTTTGTGGCCAACATTCAGAGGAGTTTTTGTAGCCCTCGGTCGCCGTGACATAACTAATCGGCGAGCTCGATCGGGCTTCCCACCTGTCAGATTTTCTCGACGGCGATCTCACTCGCAAGGACTAAACCACTCCTGCAGATCATCTGGATCCATTTATCAATCTTATAAAAGGTGTTATTGCTACCTTTTGGGTTTCCTGCAATTCGAATCCAGTCATTCGTGCTTCAAATACAGATGCACAAGATGTCGGCAGAACAATTGAATTCGACAATGGACCTCGAGTCTAATAATAGCGAACACAGCTTTCTTATGAACGATACCGTCCACAGCTTCACATGGAAGGGCGTCACAGTCAATGTCAAAGATCGCCAGACAAAACAAAAGAAAAGCATTCTCTCCAATACCTCTGGGCATGTGAATCAAGGTAGGAACCGGATTAGTTTCGCGTTTAATGATCGATGCTCTGGTAGCGCTGATACCGGCCAATAGGAGAGCTGATGGTCCTCATGGGACCCTCCGGAAGCGGTAAAACAACTTTGCTAAACGTCCTGGCTCATCGAAACAGCAGCCTTGGGGCCGCAACCGTTGAAGGAGACATCTTAGTGAATGGAAACAAAGTATCCTTGGAGACGTTCAGATATATCAGTACCTACGTCGAGCAGGAAGATGTTCTCATTGGATCGTTAACCGTGGAAGAAACGCTCCATTTTGCTGCTCAGCTGTCCTTATCAAGGCAAGTCCGTTGAGTATTTTTTCTAGCTGAATAGGCCCCTAACACCATACAGCTCGATTTCGAAGAAGGAGCGCTTACACCGTATTAAGAGTCTTCTCAACGCCTTTGGAATTCAGAATCAAGCCAAGACTCTGATCGGAACTCCGATCCAAAAAGGTATCAGCGGTGGCCAGAAACGGCGTGTCAGCGTTGCCAGCCAGCTTATCACCCGGCCAAAGATTCTATTCTTAGATGAACCTACTAGCGGGTTGGATTCCACTGCTAGTTTTGAGGTTATGTCATTCATCAAAGACCTTGCCGTCAAAAATAAGGTGCGCGGTTTCGAATCAGTGCCCATTGGAGCAAAGCTAATGACCTTTCAGCTCATCGTCATCGCAAGCATTCATCAACCGTCAACCGCTACCTTTGAAACGTTTGATAAGCTCCTTATCCTCTCAACTGGAAAGACATGTTACTTTGGACCAGGGACACAAATGAAATCATACTTTGATGGCATTGGGCATCCCATGCCTCTCCAGACGAATCCTGCCGAATTCGTTCTAGATCTAGTCAACACGGATTTTGCGAATGATAACGCCGCCGCTCAGACGCGCCTCGGCCAGATTCACGAATCCTGGGATAATTCTGTGGAATCTTCGCACGTCGACGCCGAGATAGCTTCCCAAGTTGGCGCTTCTGAGAAATCTGAACGTATCTCAGCCCCCAAAACCCGGAAATCCAATTTTCTGATGACTATCCTTACATTGCTTCATCGGTCGTTTATCAAGAGCTACCGCGATATTGTGGCGTATGGCATTCGGATCGTTATGTATCTTGGTACGTATTTCCTTCAGCGCTAGACAACCTCCCAGATTACTAACCTCGTTCCAGGATTGGCCATCATGATGGGAACTGTATGGCTGCGATTGGGAAGTCATCAAGAAAATATTCAGCCCTTCATCAATGCTTTGGTGAGTAAACATGGAACCCCTGCATCTGCCGTATCCTTTACTCAACAGTTTTACAGTTCTTCAGCTCTGCCTTCATGTCGTTCATGGCAGTCGCATACGTCCCTTCGTTCCTCGAGGACAGATCAACATTCATCAAGGAGAGAGCCAACGGCCTTTATGGCGCGACATCCTTTGTCATTTCGAACTTTATCATCGGAATTCCATTTTTGTGTAAGTGTCCTTTCCTTCACCCGATTCTATGCCTGATACTGATGGCTGTGTAGTCCTTATCACCCTGCTCTTCTCTATCGTCGCGTACTGGCTCGTGAACTTTCGCGGTGGCGCAGAGGCATTTTTCACTTTTGTGATGTGGCTTTTCCTCGACCTTCTCGCCGCTGAATCACTCGTAGTTTTGATGTCCTCTCTATTTCCCAATTTCGTCATCGCTCTCGCTCTCACCGCCTTTGCCAACGGCCTCTGGATGAGCGTTGGCGGCTTTCTCGTCTCGCCAACTATTCTCAATGTGTTCTGGAAGTACGTCTTCCACTACATTGACTACCAGGCGTACGTGTTCCAAGGGATGATGGTGAACGAGTTTGCCGAACGAACATACGACTGTGGATCGGGATGCCACTGCATGTTTCCCAGCGAGCTGTCGGATCAGTGCAAGATTGCTGGGACTGGTGTTCTCAATGAGTATGGTTACAAAACTGGACGGGAAGGGAAGTGGGCAGGCATTTTGATTGGTATCATCGCCGTCTATCGCTTGTTCGGATGGGCATTGTTGATGCTGAGGAAAAAGTAGCCATGTGCTTTATTGTTGACCATTATGCATGCTCACGGGCCCCGACCTGTTTTCGTGGCAAATCTTTAATTCAGATAGATATATAATATTAGGCATATATATTGTATTTTTAGTTTGACGTCCCGCAATTGTCGCTCCTTTCTCAGAGTTGAGAAATCCATAAGGCTGAACATACAAAGACTGGTGACATCATACACAGAACCACGGGCTTGGCGCTTTAGGCCCAAATTTCTCAACCTCCGACTTCGGCAATCATAATTATCAGATCGCACCTCGCTCTCTGCGGTTGCAGTGCGACTACTCCGGCGCAGAACAGCAGCAACCCGTCGAGAACCTCAACCTCCTTCGCCCACGGCGTTGCAGCCCGTAGTTTATTTACAGGGGGGTGATCGAGTTCTCTTTACTATTTTGTCAACCCTAACACCCGCGTGTTCGTTAGGGCGGATAATTGCAGATTCATATGTATTCCCTTCAATCAAAGTTATCTTAGGCCCAGAAGAGAAGTATGGAGTAGACCAATGCACTTATTTTTGCAACAGGAGAAACAGCATTTCAAAAGACCGAGATTTGCCATATGGAGTATGTAGGGAAGAAGGAAATCTAAGTCAGATAATTCTGCCAAGCCCTATATGTTTGGTCGGGTCACTATTAATAGGGATATCCGTTTCTATACAATATTTCAAGAAGAGTACTCCGTAGACCGAAAAGAAAGATAACAAGTAATAATACAGGGGAGGACAGCTATCCTTTGTCAACCCGTCAAATCCAACTCCTGCCCGACTGTCATTGCTCAATCGGAATGTCCCCCAGCCACATGTCACTGCTGATAATCGAACTGATATCCGGTCCCTGGTCCTCCAAAGCCGGGAATATCGGCTGTTGAACTCCGATCTCCAGTACTTCTCTCGCAACCAGCTTGATCTGCTTCATCACCAACTGCGATATCGCCCACGTGGCATTCAGCGACTTGAGCTCCCCTACAATCAAGGCGATTCGATCCCGGCGCGGCTCCAGGCAATTCGACGCTCTGACGGAGCATGCACAGAGCTGGACAATGGCGCTGAGGACAAGGCCGCAGATGAAGAATGGCGAGTGTTTGATTACTGAGGTGCGGAGTGCGGCGAGGGCGGCAAGGTCGTTGGCGGCTTTGATGGATTTGACGGCGTGAGTGAGGTTTGTAGAGGATGCGGCTGCGATGCAGAGGCCGCGTCGGGCGCAAGGGATGCTGGCGACGGCGGTTGGGGTTGCCAGGAGGTTTGAGCGGGGGAGGTGGAGGTATATCAACGCGCAATTGATAATCATGTGCGCTCGAAAAAGCAGTTGGTCGACCGTTCCATCGGGCCCAAGGATGTTTCGTTTGGAGATAGGTAGGTGGTGGAACCAGCTTCCAATGCTGGCATCGATGGACTCGACTTGATCACCGAGTTGATAATCATCGATGACGTATCCGAGATCGAGCGTTCGTTTCAGGATCCGAGATGCTTCGGCAGCATAGCAGTAGGAGGAAAAGTTTTCGTCGTCTTCCGCAAAAAACGCGATCGTAGAATTGTGTCAGGGTGGGTGACTCGGTGAGATATATCCCAGCCGAATAATTCAAATCGTCGCACGGAAGAGGCGTGTCCATTGGCGTACCGTTGTTGATTCTGGAAGGCATCTGGTCAAAAGCAGAAAACATTCCATCGACCATGTAGAGCTCCCACCATGTACGACGCAGAGTTTCTATCCGTACGGGATCGTTCTCGCCAAGGGTCGATGCGAACGACGCTCTGTTCATACCCATGCCGAGAGCCAGCTCTACAGCAGTTGAAAAGGAATCCACGGCATCGCTGCGCTCGTTTCGCGCATGCAGAACAATCGAAAGCAAAAGAAGAGCTTGAACCTTGTAAAAGGATGGCTCGTTGGCCGCTGCCAGTTCTGACACGACAGAATCCCGGTACAAATCAGCGGACGGGTCGAGTGTGTAATGGGCGCCGATAAACCTGACAACCGCTTGCAGGCATGGTGGAATCGGTGCTATTCGAGGTAGCAAATGCGCTGGAGGAAGGATCGGGTGAGCGTCGTGGAAGAATGCGTAGTAGTAATCAAAAAGAAAGTCGTCTCCCTGGGGATACGAGGAATTGCTAGGCAAGGCGAAGATATTTGGGTTTAAAGAAGGTCGGTCCGTCGATGTCAGCCCTAGTCGATCCAGTGACTGGGAGGGAGGAATGCCCGGCATGGTCAAAGACGGAATCGAAAACGGTGACTGGGCTGAACTAATCGGGGACACAATCGCTCTCTCAGGGCGCGGAGTCCCGCTAACGGTTGAAGGCGCTGCCGATGGTTTGGAGCTCGGCTTGTACCCTCGACGGGAAGGGGTATATTGGCAATCAGACTGCGCTTTACGACACCTTCCGCAGACCGGCGTGCCACCGTCACATTTGAGATGTTTCCGGCGGCATTCTAGGCATGCTAGGGGTGCCGGTCTCACGGGGTTGGTCGATCTGTTGACGGTATTCGACATTTTCTTCAACCAAGAACAGACGTCCGGGAGCTCGTGGAGAAGTTAATGCGGGTAATGAACGGCGATTCGGGATATCGGATAGGGGAAGTGGGAGCTGGAATCAAGCCATTACTCGAGTCCACCGGGGACAAATATCAAATCAAAAGGTGAAAAATGCAAAGTCGAGACACCCTGCCCTAATATCGCATGGGAACTGGGGGTATAAGAGGCCTCTGACGTTGACATGTCTTCAAACAAGGCATGGAGTTGATCCTTTTCTCCGGCGCGTCGTGCAAATTCGCCGCCGCGACGAACGGCTGATTAGGTAATCCCGCTGGTCCCCGATCTTCGGGACGTCACGTGGAATGCCGGAACGGAACGCTTGGCGGGGAGACTCGGCATCGCGCCGGTTCAGACTCGGCACTTTGGTTGCGGGAGCATCGCGGCAGCTAATTAGTAGCAGAAAAGGGAAGAGGTCTATGCGCAGCTGTCCCTATCAACTTGATTCCAAATCACCCCCCAATCCTCAAGCATCTCCGGCAAGAGGCAGGCTGTAACAGTGGATGCATGGCCAAGTCAACAATGCGTTGGGTTGCCGGGGTATATCACGATATCGGGAACACCCCAGATTTCTAAGCAGAGGTCCGTTCCACATCGCCAGCAGCGGTTTCAGAAATCGGTGAGAATAGTCTCGCACGGCGTTGCCCAATGAAAGAAGCGGTTGACCCATGCCCACCTGGTCCAAACGTCACTCTGGCCGGTTGCTTCCAGGCTCAAGCTTTTTGCTGTGGAATCACCGCCAAGCCTGCGATTCCAAACGAGTCCAGAACGCCAGAAGAATCCTTGCTCTCCGCGGGGTAAATTCTCCGGAGTCGCAGATGACACTCCCTGCCTGCATGAAAATAGTCGGCGGGAGGTCTGAAAGGGCGAATAGGCTATCGCTTTGTTTGTCTGGGGGAAACGAGTTAGGCTACTCAGATCCGGATGATCTAAGCACTTCCATCAGGACTCAAGGCAGAATGCGGGGAAGTTAATTCCATAGTGATGCGTGGACAGTGGATGGCCAGAACGCTGATTGTCGATATAAAAGGCCGTCCATCCTCATTCAAACGTCTCTCTCGCAGCATCATCAACTAGAAAAATACAGTTGGACAACCAAGTTCATTACTCTTATTCAACGAATCCTACCATCCAAGTCCTCATCTCCTCTCCCACAATGACCTCTGTACCCGGAAAGTGCCACTGCGGCCAAATTGAATGGACTGTGAAGCTTGCTGACCAGGAGAAGTCGCATATCCTCTGGTATCTCAATCCCGTCGACAAGTCGATTACTTCATAAAGTGACAACTACTGATTTGTGAAATCTGAAATCCTCTAGCCACTGCGATGCCTGCAAGATTGTCAACGGTGGGGAGTTCACTTTGAATCAAGTGATCCCGGAAGAAAATTTCAAACTCGAAAAGGGAGAGCCGAGCAAGTACACCTACAAGGGTGACTCTGGTATATTCAACTTCCCTACAGCCATTATCTATTCCCAGACACTGACCATCTCGACGTGTAGGGAACCCCGTCCACTGCTTCTTCTGTCCAACCTGCTCAACCCACATTTACCACCACCAAACCGCTCTGGGCCCGAAGTACATCATCCGCACTGCCGCACTAGCCGGCTCGAAGGAATGGCCCGTGGGTGCAGAGATATATTGCAAGGATAACTTGAAGTGGTTCCCCAAGATTGCGGAAACTACGTTCCCTGCCGCTCCGCCTTCGTGAGCAAAGAGCGGGATTATAGGGCTCGATTTGTTAAGCTAGATTCGTCGAGATTAGGTCTCTTCAGAATTTATTGTCCATAATCGCGGTAACTAACTAATGCAATGCATGCATCTACCGGGGTCGAAAGCTAGTCTCCCTTTCAGTCGTTATGACATGCATACGCTCGCCTCAGAACCCAGCATCTACTTTGTTAACTATTAGAACCAACGGCCTTACAGCATCAATATATCCAATTGTCACCTTGTAGTCCGTAGAATGCCCACGCATCTTGAACGCGACCCTGATGATGTCATGGACAGACTAGTCAACTCGTAAACTCAATTGCGCGCGTCTGAAGCGCGTTTTGATCGCGTCTCATCCACTAAGGGCCAACAAACACCACAATTTGCTGCAGCATCCGCATGCAGATGCGCCTCGAGAACCTCTCCCGCACCCTGGCTGTGCTTCGACGCTACAGGGCCCCGATCTCCGCCACTACCAAATCCCACAATGCAGTACGCACCCAAGTTCAGCGCAGGCCGCGCCCTCGATACGATTGAGGCGCAACGGATCAAGAAGAATTTTCGGCGAGCACTCAAGGGGCTGGAAGTGAAGGGTGATTTCGTCCATTCCGGCGTCGTCGAGAACAGCCCAAGCCCGAGGCTATTCGTCCCAGGTGCTGGCCCGATCGCCCTCCCATTATCCGCTTCCGACGCTGCAGCTATTACCGCTGTCTGCCACAGAAGCCCCTTTGGAAAGGGGGAAGAAACCCTTGTGGATACCTCAGTACGGAAATGCTGGGAATTGGATGCCGATAAGTTTGTAATTCGTAATCCCAAATGGGACAAGACGGTCAGCGACCTAGTCTCAACGATCACCGAAAATTAGGCCTAATGACCCCCGCGAGCAATGTCAAAGCAGAGCGATACAAATTTCTCCTTTACGAAGAGGGCGCCTTTTTCCTCCCGCATCAGGACTCGCCCAAATCAGACCGGATGTTTGGCACTCTTGTCATCTGTTTGCCTTCAAAGCATGAAGGCGGCGAACTCATTGTCACTCATCATGATAAGACGCGCGTGATCCGAACATCGACGACATCCGCTTATGGGACATCCTTTGCAGCATGGTATGCCGACGTGACCCACGAAATCAAACCCGTGAAGTTGGGGCATAGGGCGGTGATAACCTACAACTTGATAGACACCGGTGCGGGCAGTGTCCCCGTCGCTCCCGTCGCCGGACAACCGGAACCGGGACTTGAAAACGCCTTTAAGCTATGGAGATCATCCATTGACTCGGCAAATGCTGTGCAAAACAATCATAATGACCCTCCTAAATTCTTGCTATACCAGCTTTCTTATCAATATCCATCCATCTCCTTCGATGTCAACAGCCTAAAAGGCGAGGATAAGCAACAAATACGTCGACTCGAGGCTGTTGGTGGGAAATTGGGGTTTCAAATACTCCTAGGGTTTGTCAAGAGAGTCGTGTATGGAGAATGTGAAGACGAGTATCGCGGCGACCGTTATGCCCGGGTCCGGAGCTCCCGCTACCATGCTATTGTGGACCCAATTGGAGACTCTGCAAAGCTTGAAAAAGCAGTGGACTTGACTGGGGAAACAGTTCTCGATGACTTGAAGATCAAAGCCCCAAATTTTATCTTTGACGGAGCCCTAGGGGTACCCCAGATCATGAGGACTACAGCGGGTTCACCGGGAATGAAGGGGTGTCTGCAACACACTCCTATAAGAGAGCGGTGGGCATATCTGCTTGATTTTCAAGATGACTACCAAACTGACACTGCTACTTTCCAGGTCGCGATGATCTTGCCGCACGATTTCATTATCGCCTTGAAATGTAAAAGTCTAGGTAGCTCAGGCGTCTCGAATTGGCTTGATCAGCTTTTGCCTTCCCTCTCCGATCCTGACTATGTCCAGTCACGAAACGAGTTCAATGGTATTGTCAAATTCTTTTATGATCGAAGTGCTCGCCGCGCCAAAAAGCCTCCTACGAGGTTTGCATCGCCCACCTCGGATGCGGACGATGAGGTCCTCAGCAAAATTACGCAGGGCTTTTCCGTCATTGGCGATATGGAAGCTTGCGAGAAAGCCATTACAGGGCTTCAGATGAAGCCCGCACCGGAATTGTTTCCTTGCATAGTCAAACTATTCAAGGCCAAGGACATTCAAGAGGCAATAGTCCTGTAAGTGCGCCGCCCTTTCGCGGCCAGTGGTTGAAACTAACATATCCCCACTCCCTCCAGATTGGATACTCTTGCCGGACGATCCAGCAGTATAGGAGAATCGTTCGACGTTACGTTCGAACTCGCCAAATTCTGTCGGGAAAAGCTTGGTACTTCTGATGACCAGGTACGAAAGCGGATAACCGAATGGGAAACATCTCGCATCAAAAGTATACTCAGGCAGCCTCAAACCAGCTATTGCTCTCAAGACGGCCTTGCCCTTGCACGGCTCGCGCAGCGCTACCCAGAAGCTGACACTCAACGGCTGTAAGCTCGAATTATGTATGCTGATATTGGGAAACAGAGCTGACCACCCTTGTAGAATAAAACGTGTGGCTCTGAAAATGGCCGGCAAAAATGACTTCATTTTCCCATTTCTGGACCATCTCTGCACATCCTGGGCGGCTGATCCTGAACAACAATGGATATCGATCCTCTGTCAAACGGTGTTAGAGTGGAAAATCCGCAATCTGAAGCTTGGGGATGTGGCTCCGTATTCTCTCGAATCCACGTCGTCCGAAAGCGATGCCGACGGCTTGAGCGGTGAACATGTATGCTCGATCATCAAACAATGCCACCTGCTGAACCTGAACCTCCCTGTTAAAGAACTCCTCCGTGGAATCAGAAAAATTTCTGCCAATTCTATAGAAGATGAAAACTTTGCGACGCAATTCGCGTTTCCATTTTTCAAAGAAGTACTGCAGGACCTTAATGCCTGTGGCCTCGAGGAAACCGGAGAGTGTTTGACATTAGTCGGGGCTATCATCGAAGACTACGTGAGACACAATGTCGGAGCATGCCCTCCCATAGAACCTTTTGAGCCTCCACGGCGGGCCGGTTGCATTTGCTATGACTGCCGTGAATTTAATCGGTTCCTACTAAGCACCGAAACATCCCAGGTGTTCCATACAGGCTCGACGAAAAAACACCTGGAGAAATTATTCGCTAAGAACGAGCTTTGCTTGATAACGGAGCGCGTCGACAGATACCGGACGCGGGTTACCAAAGACTTCCCGCCTCATGTACTTTGGGAAGAAATTGCTAAAAACGCAAATCAACTTATTCAATCAATCGGAACGCCCGCGCAGGTGCGGGCTGTCTTGGGCGCGGAGTGCTTCCGGGCGCTTGTTGACTTGAGAATATTGGAGTCAACTTGGACCTTCACCGATAAGCGTGGTACGAAACGGCCTGCCTCTCAATATATCAAGGCTGAAAGAAGACCCAACAAGATTATTGTCATTGATTAGAAGCCCTTTTCTTCAACGCTGTTGTAATAAATTCTTTTCCCCAATGTTTTTCTAGCAAATATTTTTTCTGCTTCATGCTGTCGAAATGGCAATCTATACCCCAAGATGATGAAAAATAGACGAGGGGGATTCCTTGTTTACCCAGTTATATGGCTCATGGACACTTGGTTATGTCCTGGGCAATGCTATCTAGCTATTTTATCAATCATGACATGTCTATACCCTAGCAACTGCATGGTATATAGTTTAATATATTAACCGTCGAACTTCTTCTCGTTCTATCCCAGCCAGATGTCAAGGTGGCAGAAAGAAGCGATTAATGAAGAGGATCCAGCTTGGGACAACGCAACACGCCATATGAGGTGTTTATTCCCTTGAAACCTGGTTTAACATAGCCCATTCCTTTTGGGCAGAATAGTAGAGTAAGAATATCGAGATTGTAGGGTGACTACAGCCAATATAAGTATATCAACTAAACTAAAAATACCGATTTCTTCTTTTGAAATCAATTTCAATTTCTCAAAACAGCATAATCCCAAAACCGAATTAAGGACTCAACGGGTTTCCTTCGCACCACTGGGACGATGGGTTTTTCCTCCTAAACGCATGTATCGCTCTATGGTAGAATTGGCATTCTCGGTTTGGGTTCGCAACCGGGGGTGTAGTTTGGACTTGCGGCAAAACCGAATCCGACTGTCTTACAGCTACCCTCCACATTCTGATAAGCAACAAGACTAGAACGATAATAAAACTGATATTTAAGCAGTATGTTGTGAAAGCGAAAGCGTCGATAACTACCTTTTTCCATGTTGGATCTCGTTTGGCCGCATGAGGATGGGTCGATGCTGCGCGAGGAGAATGTGCCTTAGTTGGAGCCCCTTGTGGTGCTGAGTGTAGAGCAAACAGGCCGGTATGCTTTCTTGTTCCCAAAAATGCCGTACCTTCTTTGTCATCTGACGCTGATCGACGTTCATGAGTAGTACGATCCCGATCGCACTGGCGATTCACGACACCGCGGGCCAATTCCTGATCCTTTGAGCTGCACAGCTCGTGGATACAGCGGTAGAAATCGTTGCTGATAAACGAAGGGACACAGAGGCAGCTGTATTGGACAGGAACATTGCATCCTCGGTTGGATTCAGCAACATCAAAGCATCGTTTCTGCGTAATATGTCAACAACTGATGCCCTGGAACGTAGGATAGGGAAGATTTGCCCACCGAGCATTGCGGAACGTCAACGGACAGACTGCCTCCAATGAAAAGAGCGGCGACGACAACGCTGGTAAACTTCATTGTGATGTTGGCTTTTTTTTTCAAAATCGCGACTTCGCAAATGTCAAATAGATCAGGACTCGAAATTCAATCGGATAGGTTCAAGTAGATGTAGACGATCGAATGCTCTGCTATTTATATCGTCGAGGAGTGTGGACGAGGAGGCTTAGAATGCTAGGAATGGTTTTGAGAGCGTGGCATCGAGACAAAGAGCTCGTCTCTGCCTGAGCATCACAGCCTTCCGTTTGCAGCAAAGGGCAGTCTCCCCATGCAACGCAGTGGCACGACTCTTTCCCTTGCTGCCGTAACACAGTATCAAGCCTTCCAGCCTGGAGCATGGCGCTTGCTTCGTGCCTCCGTTCGTCATCACAGCTTCAATGCATGGGATATAGCGAGGACCGCTGGGCTTTGGCCTGGTATCACTTGTGCGCCTCCAAGGCAATCCGCCATGAGATTATCGGATGCAACTGTGATAGTAGCATCCCAAGAGCTGGATCACCGGAGGTTGTTGTTGATTGACATAGGTTTGACCAACAAACATTTCAAACGTTCAGTATCCCGATCTGCAAATCAAGCTATAACCATTGAATCGTGGATGGGATTTGCATGGGAAACTTGAAATTGGCCTTTGTTAGAAGAGAACCCCCAGCCGGTTTCATTATATTAAAAAAAAGAAACAGGTTGGTCCATGCTCGGAAGTGTAACCTCATGTAGGATCTCTGCGACGGGTTTTGTGGATACTTGCATAAAGTAGTATCAATCCCACAATATGTCCACAGTGAGCCTGTCTTGTTCAAGAGAGTCAACGCTGAATTGGAGATGAGGGAATTCAAAATCACTAACTAATTACTCCATGTCCCACGATCTGCACAACCCGCAAGGAATATTGCTGGCATACCGATCCCAGCTGGTCTTTTACGCAGCTGTTCAATTGGACACTTGGGTTTGCAAAACAGCTCCATTTTTCAGCGCATCTAATTTTGATGTTGAGACAAAGGTCAAAGAGAACTGTTTTCACCCTCCCGGCCACAATCATGGAAGCGGCTGCAACCTCCAAATGAGACATGCCATAAGCTCCTCATGGCCGTTTAAATGCTATCAATAAACATCAATCCAGCCCACCGTATCGTCTCCACTGAGCAATCCACCCACCCGCCTACTGCAGTCTTTCCTCTCCAAGCCCAAGCGCGAACGGTGGCCGACGATGCCCAAGGACTCGTACCGCACGGCCCCCTTTTAGTTTTCCAGCCATGATGCCCGGCCCATGCACCTCTCTACCCCGAGCTCACAGGCGGAATTATCGCAACTTCTTCGCCAGCCTGTATGATCCTGCCCTCCGCTGCATCGTCGCCCGGCCCGTCGATATCGACATATTCCAGCCCCACACTCACCGCACAGCTCGACAGCACCTTGTCCTTGATTCCAGGATACCGCTCTTCTAAGATGTCGAAGAGCCTGTGCACGGGTAATGGAGCGGGTAGAGACTCGTGCGCTTTGCCGGTGTAGGAGAACGCGCTGGCGAAGTAGTGGATCTGGAAGGTGGTGGATGAGGGTTGGGCCATGGTAGAAAATGGTAGACACCAGAGCCTCTTCTGCTTGTGTTTTCTGTGCTTGTGCAAATGGTTTCAGCGACGTTGTTTTGATGAGAAAGATGGCTTGAGGTTGATTTCCGTCCGAAGTGCCCGGCTTGGCGACTGGTGGGGGAAAAGGCCGGAGTGTGCGGGGTAAACTGCTTTCCCCGACGAGGAGAGAGAGAGACAGGATATCACATCAGATCAGAATGCTGACAACTGTTGAAGTCTTTCATATATGTCCAGCTATTCTAGATACTAGATAAAAACCAACTATCTCTATCATCCGTCCAAGCAAGTCTTCAGCCCAGCCACCAAGTCATCCCGGAGATCAACCCAGTGCTCCAAGCCCACACTCACTCTCAAAAGCTTTCGATCAACAGTCGAATCCGTCATCGCACGCCATTCAATCAGAGATTCGACACCGCCAAGGCTCGTGGCATGATGAAAGAACTTCAACTTTGTTGGAAGCACTCGCGCCATGCGCTCTTCCTTGAGTATAATCGAGAAAACCGGCCCGAACCCACCGGGCATCTGCTTCGATAACCACTCCATATCCTTCTCCTGCAAACTCGAATGAACCACCTCCTTCACAGTAGCTTGGACAATGTCCGTAGAGCCATTGCCTGACCCCGACGTCTTCAGTGCATCGTGCAAAAACTTCACCAGTGCTGTGGCATTCTCACTCTGCCTCTGGACTCTGACTTCCAAAGTCCTCAAGCTGCGCACGCCTAGCCAGGTCTCCATGCTCCCCATCACGTTCCCCAAGTAAGCTCTATCATTGAGCAATCTCTCCCTCCACTCTTTATTCTTCGTCGCCAACACGCCGCAGAGCATATCGCTATGCCCCCCCAGATACTTTGTGCCAGAGTGCATCACCATATCCGCCCCCCACAGGAATGGATCCTGCAACCCGGGCGGCCCAAACGTACTATCCACCAGCAGATACGCCCCGCGCGCATGAGCCTTGTCCGCATATGCTTTGATATTAAACGACGTCCCGTACGGATTCACGGGCGTTTCCAGCAGGACCACGTCGCCCTTTTCCAACTGCTCTGCGGGGCAGTCGAGGTCCAGCTTCTTGAGGCCGGTGAGGCGGGAAATGATGCTGATGACGCCATGGCTGCCGTGGTATCCATTGCCGATGGAGATGTGCTTGGGGTTGAAGAAGACCAGCGCGGCACTCAGGGCTGCGAGGCCTGATGAATAGGCAAGGCAGTGGCCATTTAGGAGGGCGGAAGCGATTGTCTCGAAGCGGCTGCCGCTTGGTGCTGTGTAGCGGGAGTAGATGTGTGATGTGGGGCTAAGTTGCTATTGGAAGAGATGGGACAACGGCTTATGTTAGTTAGATGTGACGGAGATGAAAAGGAGTTCAGTAGAAGGTGAGGAGAGGTATTACAGCGCCATCTGACCAGGGAATGAGGTCTTCCGGATTGTTGGAGTATCTAAATGTTGTCGAGACGTGTAGTGGCGGCGCAACGTCTGAGACCAGATTGAGGGGGTCATCGGCATGGATCGCCGCAGTGGCATTGCTGCAGCTTTGTAGGTCGAGTTTAGCCAGGTCTGCGGAACAATTGTCTGCCATTGTAGATGGTGTAGAGCGCCTTGTTCCTGATTCCCCAAGGACACGGGTTTTGCGGTTGCGTATGACTGAAAGATAGGTGGTGGAATGCTAACAATGATGGTCGACCCGTCCCTAGCTAGGACAATAGTGACCGCATCCCACCTTTTTCCCCGAAGATCACCTCATCACGACATAGTTGCTCATGTGATATCAAATCTTGGGCAGATGTCCTAGGGCGTAGACATGCACTCTGACAAAACGGAGAATGATAAAAAAAGCAGTATGAGCTAAGATGGTAGGTTTGGCAGTAGTTGACTCCCAGGAGGTCTTACAGCAGCTCTAAATTAACAACAGGCAATGAAGATAAAATAAATTTGAACAGTTCACCTGTTGTCATCAGGTTTCCATACCACCATGTCAACGCCTGAGTATCGAACCGCCAGCAAACTCCAAAATGCGCCCTGAAAATGGGAAATTTCGCAAACGATCATCTCTTAAATGACCCTGCCCTCAGTGGGCTTCTGACAGAACCCGGAATTGCCGACTGGAAGTTACGTTGGTCTGCAAAGCGCACGTTAGCTTTGGTCCTCCTTAATAATGGCCCAGTTTCCTCTTACCGCTCTCAGAGTCAAAACAAATCGTGATATCGTCATGTTCACCAGGATACTCCGGCATGTCCAAACACACGAAATCGTTCAACTCGTCACCGCTACCCCTGGGAAGGGCGAATTTGGCATCGACAATCTTAATGCCATATTTGCCAGACCGGCTGAAACTTTCGAAATTGTCTGTACTTTTAAGCACAAAATTCATGCATTTTCCGTGACTGAAATCGGAAAAGAACACCAGAAGTTGGACGATCTTTGCTTGTTGGATGATTTGGAGCCTCGTTCTGCTCGCTTCCCACTTCTTGTATATGGGGACCACCATTCGTCTGCGCGATATAGCAAAGCTGCACGCATGCCTACAATCGGAGAAACAGTCTCAGCAACAATCAATACATTAACCGGAAGTAAGGCGAATATTACCCGTCAAAACGAACAGTGAAACCAGTTATTGCTTGTTGGAACGTATGCAGATCTGGTGATGAGTCAGTGGCTTGGAGTCAAGAGAGCAGGGCGGCTGCCAAACCTTGAATAGTAGCAAAATTATACTTCCTAATCAATGACTCGGAATTCACAGTTTTCAAGAAACTAGTCAGTTCATTAGGCAGTTCCTTTGGCACTAAATTCTCTGCTACTGCGATCTCTAGGTCGTTCTGCGGTGGTCGACAAATAGCCAACGCAGTTGGCATGTTGACATCAAGCCGAATTTGAAGATCGCCGGGACCTGTAAAAGCTGTCAGTACATATTGTGGTAATACACTGAAGTGACGCCAGCCCACCTAAGTTAACCCTATCAGTAACAGAGCCCCAGGCCGCACTGACAAAGACCCGCAAGTGCTCTGATAGAACTGTACGGCTAATTCCATGGTCACCAGGCCCTGGAGATTTGTTGATAACGGTAATGGAAGAAGAAGAAAATTGTAAAGGAGTTTTCGATTGTAAGCCGCCTGACCTACTCCCGACGGGTTGTTCGATAGAAAACGATTTGAGCGCGATCTCGCTGGTTTGGAACTCAAAATCCGTAGGTACGATTCCTAGCAATAGCGAATGCATTTTGGTCCGCTGCTCGTCATCACTAAATGTTAAAATCATACTGCACATCGTATCTCCGTCCTCGGCCTTTAGCATAAGTGCTGGTGCTCCATTATCGCCTCGAAGATAGCCAAACACGACGGGATGACCGCTGCCTAGGTGATGCGAGACACTGGTCAAAGTCTTGACCTTGGGACTTGTCACAGCAACAAACCTATATCCACGGTGCGATTGACGGGTTCCAGTCCCCTCAGTGATTTTAACTGCCTTTTTAAAGAGTCGGATTCGACACCGTGGAGAAGGTTCAGGAGGAAAGGCCTTGTTGGGGCGAGGGTCCACGTATTGGAATATCTCTAGGATATCTTCAAAAATTGCTTTTTCACCTGCCTCCGGCTGAAGACTAGCTTCAACTTTACGGGAATATTCAACAATCTTCCAAAGCATGTTAAAATCAGGTTGTTTGAAATGAACGTTCAACTCGAAACCTCTGGGGAGCCGGAGCCGCATCGAGCAGGCCCTCACTTGCCAGTCCACATCAGCCCAAGTTGGCCCTTGATTTTTGTCGGGTTGAATAGCAATATTTACCAGTTCGCTCTGGCTCGTGATGGTGGCAATGACGTTCCAATCCTGTCGGTTGCGGGTGATGGATAACATGCACGGAATGGCGATTTCCTGCGAACTGTCCTCTCCGGAGCTGATACGGGCATCTACAAACATTCGACCGTAGCAGAAATACCTGCTGGAATCGCCCATTGGCATCACATCTCCGAGATCCGCCTGTTTCGTCGATGTATCGACCAGCATCGACTTTGAGAAAGATCCGGACAGGATCGCAGAAATATCCGGGGCAAAGAATGGGTATTTGATCCAGATGCTAGTGTCGACTGACTGAAGAAGTGAAGGCGCATCGTTACCTGAAGGAAGCATGCTGTGCCGTTTCATTGACAGCGCCAGCCCCCTTAGATGGCCGATCATGTTTTGATGGAGGGTAATTAGATGTGCCACGCGTAAATCTCCCATATTCTTGGCGACAGAAAGCATTGCGTCAGTGCTTACTCTCCCAAATCTTGCAAGCTCTGGATGCTGGGGAATGATGGACTGGTTTATCCACCACGCCTTTGCCAGATTGACTACGGCCTGTTGCGACTGGTCTGACTGAGCGGAACTCGCACCAGAACTGGAAGGTCGTGATCGCATAAACGCCTCCAACTCCCCTCTGCCCTTTAAGAACCACCACACACATGCTCGCACCCATTCCACAAGGGATGTTTCCATTGATGGTTTCGCGCTTTCTGCAGCCAGGCTGAACAATTGACCAAAGTTGCCCACGTAGTCAGAAAAGTCGGCTAATGCAGTGTCCCCGACCGCGGTAGCAACATTTCGTAGATTCTTCGGTAGAGAGGAGGATTCCTTGTCCTCATTGTAGCTCTGGAACTGTGTCGATGCCGTGGAGCTTTCGGGCGATTTGAGATACGGAGGAGGACGGGAAGGTTGATATGTAGCCGGAGGGTTGCTAGTGGGAGTTGGGCTGGGGCTGATCGATGGACCTGACGGAGGAGAGGCCCGGAGCGTAGACTTGGTCTCATCGGGCAAGGCGTTCAGGACGCTCGACCAAAAGGATGGAGTACTGGACTTTTCCTCCGATCGCGGCGGATCTGACCCGAGCTGGGGGGCTGTAGTCTGCAAGGGTGAAGCCAGTTCTGTTGGCGACTCCCCACGGTCATCACGGCGATTCTGAAACGCACGACCTTCATCAGCTCTCATCTTTGCCTGCACACGACGCGCAAAGGAGTTTGGGTCGGACGACTGTCTCAAGGATAAGCGAGAGCCGCGAGCGGCTTCTCCCAGGGAGAGCAGGAAGTCAGAGTCGTGGGAATTTTGAATCAAGGGAGGGCGCCATGTCGGGTCCTCGACGGGCGATTGGGACTGGATTGCTATTGTTGGTGGAATGGCGTGACGACTGGGATGAGTGTCCGAGGGAGAATGGTCATCAATGGGCGAGAAATCGGATGTATCGGTGAAGGTGGAAGCGGATGAGTTGGAGCGGGTGCGGTATACGGCTATCATGTCCTTGGTGGGAGCATCAGCTTCGTCACCCCCTTCTCCCATGATCTGAGGCGGGTCATTGCAAAACTTGACCGTCAAGCCCTTGCGTCGACGGCGCTTGACGGGGCTTTGAAGGTTCTGTGGTCGAAAGAAAGCGTCCGTCGAGGACTGGGGAGCGTTCGCATCTCGGGGCCGCTGGGAGATGGAGACGTCGATTCGGGGCGAGGGGACACCGGGTCGAGGAGGGATACGGGGCTGGGACTGGGAGGGCAGTCTGCGGGAAGAACCGAGAAAGTCGTCAATCTGGGCGTCGCGGGCGGCCTTGCTGGCGTCCTTTTCCTTGGAGAAGATCTTGTCGCGCCATTTCCTGGCCTTGGATTCGGCGGAGGCGCTGATGCCGTGGTCGGGGGTCTCGAGCACCATCATTGAGGGCGAGGGGCAACGGTTAGGCGAGCAGTGGACGAAAGGAACATTGATGGCCCAGCATCACTTGGAAAACAGCTCGTCGCACAGACAAGGAGAGAAGACAATGGAGTAGTAGGAGACAAGCAGAAGGGGGGAGTGAGTTCAGCGGTGCGCTCACGTGCTGCACATCTGGGGTGGTTTGTACTCTTCTGCACTGAAACCCAGGATCTACAACAACTCGCGGCAGCACAGAAGGGAAGCGCGCTGGTTGCTCTGGAGGCTGGCAGGCGGACGAGGGTGCAGGAACAAGGCCAGATGTGCAGGTCTGAAGATCGTGCAGCCGTTTAAACGCCAAAACATGGAGTGTTCCAGGGATCGCGGCCGGCTGGGGGACTGTCACTGAGCATCACCCGATTTGCCTGCAAGCGAGAAAGGGGATTGGGGAGCAGGGCATGCAGTATTACAAGAAATGAAGGCAGATGCAGTGACTGGTCTTCGTCACCGGCCTTCATTAATCGCTTCAGGCAAGTTGGCCGATATGATGGTCACTCACTAAATTGACTATTCACAAAGCCAGCCGAGATGAAACATGGCACCCTGGGCCTGAAACACACGAGGCAATCGCCATGCTGGTTGTTTGCGCACACGACAGGCTGCCCGAAGATGCACCGCTGCTATTGCTGCTGTCCAGAAGCCTCTACTGACTGGAAACAGCATGAGATGTCAACTACTTTCCCGCTTGGTCCCTGAATTCTGACTTCACTAATGGCAATAAGCTACAGAAGCACATCACGGCTGTTCCTCGCTCCCAAGTCTGTTCCCCCGTGAACCATGGTAGCGTCGGCTCCATCCGCCCCTCTCAGTTCCCGACTCCTGACAGTGGTCCCCAAATAATAATGAAAAGGAATGGACGTTACGGAGTGGTCCCTACTGTGAATTCACTCTCCCTGGCCAGATTAATATTGATTTGATTGCTGCCAACAAGGCATCGCAGGTGGAGTTTGGATAGAGCGCCACGACAACGTGCATTGTGGCGGAGTGCTGGCCAACACGCGTAAACTGCCGCTGATCAGAGAGACAGGTGCACCCACTGGCAGACAGAAAAGACTGGCAGGTCGATGAGAGGTGTGGTCGATCTCACCTTCACACTCCTGTGGTCTCTTGTATAAAAGACGATCAAAGGCCCCCCCGAAAAATCCAACATCCCAAACGCTCAGACCGAGAAGCTGAGACCAGGTCTGACCCTCGCAGTTGGCGCATTTGGACGGGGGACTGCCGTTGATTGGCTTGGACTCTTCGTATCGAAGATCGATCGCTTCGGATTCTGACCACAAGGCTGATGAACCTCTGCGATCCACTAGAGGACACTGCTCTCTGACGGTCCGGTGCGGTTTGGGTCATTGGCTTGATACACTCACTTCCCGGTGTCTTTAGCGAGCTTTTATTGGCAGTGTTTGTTCTGAAAATACCAAAGCATACTATTTTTACTGCGCAGACGGACTGGATTCTCCCACCCGAGGTTTGGAGATGCGGATCTCTATTGGGACGACTGGCTTGACCGCCGATAGCTCAAATCGATTATTTCAGAGCAGAAATGCTCTCCACCTCCATGAAATGAGGTGCAACTTGGTAGTCGACGCATGAGCGTCCCAGAGATCCAGGTCTCGCTGAAAGATATCATATATGTGAGTAATAGCATCAGAGAGCTGCCTGTGTTGCACGAATACACAAACCAATTGTTTTGGGCACGTAAGCCAGGGCCCTTGCTCTATCAAGCCTGCACAAAGCAAACGGCCTTGCAAACAAAATGGAGTTTGGCACAGTCTCATATTGCACTTCTACCAGACGAATACTGAAGAGGAAACTGGCAGGTAACTAGCCACTTCAACAATATCATACAGCCTGCACACCCCCAGATCTCATGTGAGCAAAACAAGACCAGCGAGCTGTTCTCGGAAGGATTGGAAAAGCGACAGCGAGAGAGGTATCCGACAGGTCATAGAGGCGACGTTTGACCAAAACAACCATGTATCACAGAGTCGAACCTTTCGAAACCGCGATTTTGAATCGTCTGTTATCTCGACAAGAGAGCCGCCTCTCGACCCTCCGCAGATGGCCGACAGTGTCAGAATGTCCTGGGTTCCGACAAGAGCGTGAGTTCCAGATGGTGAATGTCGTTTTGAGACAAGACCGGCCGAAGTCTTGCAAATTCAGATATAAAAATAGCACACCGACGTCAGTCTCGTGTTCTCCCACTCGCCCGGCACGATTGTTTCCGGGAATTCGCCAGGGAATTATAAGGCCAAAGTCGCTTGAAACACAAGGTAAGCTTTCTCGTCGGACTGCAAACTCGGCCTGGGAAGCATCGGCAGGCGGTATTCAAATCGCGAACCTGTAGTATGATTGCCACAATAGTAATTCCATCGCTATCCACCCGTAGCAAACCTGCCCTTCCAAGAACACCCCTCCAGAGCGTCCATCTTGGGAGCCTTAAGAGGCTCAGTGCTGGTGGGCGTGTCTCAGCGCCGCGTGCAGGATGGCCCGGTCCACTGAAGAATGTGCTGGCAAGCCCATGATGTCTCATCTTCGCCCACGCCGATTTGATACGCTGAAGGCAAACTCTCTAGCTTTGCGGCTTGCTGGTTAAACTCGCTGGCTGAATCTTCCCTTTTTTTTGGCTTTTTTAAGGCGGAACCAGACTCCAGATCCCAGCTTTTTCTTCGATCGTCTCGCTCGTCCTGCGCGGCTGTGCGTTTAGCTCCTTTTTCGCTTCCCCCCATCTCCCTTTGTTTTTTTTCTCTCTGTTTTTCTCCCTGTTGGGCTATTTGCTTTCTTTTTCCTCCCGACAAAATCCAAAGCACAGTCTTTTCTCATGCTTTTCTGTGTTGGTTTCTGGCAGGGTACATCCAGCCCAACAGGCATCTGCGGTCGTTTTCGGCGGACTCTTAACTAGTTATCAACGCAAAGCTCCCCTGTCCTCTTCGCCAAAGCCCCCCAGAAAACGCCGGCCCACCCGCGCCCATCCACGAGATCTTTCCAGCGTTCATGTCTTGCCGTGGAGCGAGGATAAAACAAGGAGTCCCATTTCGACCTTAGACAGCACCGGCGGGGGGAATTGCGGTCTTCAGCAGTGTGGAGGAGACTGTCCTCCTTTGGGAGGCCGTCTCTCGCCCGTTTGGCCGGCCATCGTGATGAGTAGCGCTGGCCTGACGACCAACGTGCCGGTCGATGAACCCGACGGCTGCTCCCATGAACCTCCTCTTGACGCCTGCCGACAATGCTCCACACCCACTCGCCTGATCCCAGGGCGCCCATTCTTTCGACGACGGATGGATCGCCAAACATCGCCGCTGCCTGCCTTTCGAATACCCCTCACGCTTCTCCAGCTGCTTCTCCTATGCCTCGCCCTTGCACCGGCTGACGCGGCCCTCGTTCCTTTTGAGAATTGCCTCCCCGACGCGATCATCAGGTCGAAACCCGCGCAGCTACAGTTCGTCCCGCTTTTCGTCACTGCGACCTTTGAGCGGTCGTCAGAGCAGAAGAACTTGACAGTCACTGTGTATGGCAATGTGACGGGCCTTGCGAGGCCGGGCAGATATCCGCCGCCGACTGACCCTGGGTGGTCCGATCCCGGCGTTACTGTGGGCAAGATCGTGGAATTTGACCAGTCGACCAACGTGTACACGACTCTGTCGTCGCGTATAGACGTCCTGAGCTTTACGCCTTATCGCGCCAATCGACGGCCGTTTTGCGATGCTCTGGTGCAGGGAGAATGTCCGCTGGGGCCGGTGTTCAATGCAAACGCGTATGGGCCTTTGTCTCTATCCCAGTCCCTCCCCCCGTTCCACTCAATCCAGAATCTAGACTAATCGTGCCCTTCTTTTTGAAAACAGATCTGATCTATCCCAACTACGAGCATTTTCCTTTTCCCACAACCTCTTCTCAACTTATGCCTTTGCTTCCGTCGTTCCCACCTTCGAAGTGTATGCCGGTGATTCAGATGGCACCCCCATTGCTTGCGTAACCGTCGATGTTCCACCAGACTTGGGACCAACACTAAACGACTCTCTCGCATACATTCCACTTGTTATCTTGATATTAGTCGGTGTTGCGACGATCTCAGCCGCCATATACAGCCCATGGGGTACTACGGATATCTTTCGGTGGACCAGCAATTATGGACGAGATGAAGATCTACTACGCCTCGTCACCCCAGGATTTGGCGACTGTTTACAGTACATCCAGTTTATCATTCTTACCGGCTCCTTGACCTTGAACTATCCTGGTTTCTTTCAGCCCGTTGTCAGCAATGTAGGATGGTCGACGTTGATGTTTAACGAAAGCTTGGTCAGTCATGGCAACGGGACACAGCCGCTACAGGATGGAGTTTATACCGTCAACGGCACATATGGACTGGATCGAATGAGACAATTCATTGGCATGTCGGCGGCAAGAGATGTATGGCCAGGCATGGTGGTTTGGCTGCTCTCAATTCTCGCCATCGTAACCCTGCTTACCCAGCTTGCCTTTTCGTTTCAGTGGATACACCGCAAAGTGGCTCGCGTCCCAGAAGAGGATCTTCGGGCGAAGAACTTGCCTTTTACGGCCGGAAATGTTATTCGGATCATTTTTAATTACTTTTTACTACCCATCGTGTCTCTGACCATGTTTCAATTCATGGTCGCTGGTTCGTCACCAGTGTACACGGTGGCATTGGCTGCCATTCTACTTGTTTTACTAATTCTATTCTCGGGCTGGTTATTGATTCTGATCGCGAAGACACGGCCTCGATCCTATCTGTTTGACGACCTTCCCACCGTCCTCCTTTACGGCCCTTTGTACAACACCTTTTCAGACAGCGCTGCACCCTTTGCGTGGATTTCTGTTCTTCTTACCTTTATCAGAGGCATCGCAGTCGGGGCGGTTCAGCCGTCTGGCATCGCCCAGATTGTGTTGTTGGCAATTTGCGAGGTCGTTCTCGTCCTGACCATTATTGCGTTTCGGCCTTTTGAATACCCCACGTCGATGAATGCTTATTACACGGTTCTCGCTGTGCTCAAATGCCTAACGATTCTTCTTAGTGTCGCTTTTGTTCCATCTTTGGGGGTTTCGGATGCCAGTCGTGGCTGGATTGGCTATATCATCCTTTTAATACACGGAGTTGTTTTGGTTTTTGGTTTCTTTCTTAATGCGATCCAGACATTGATTGAGGTTATCGCAAGATTGCTTGGAGCTGGTGGCGAAGGGGGCGTTGAAGGAGGGGCTGCGAGAGGAGGACTTTCGAAGGTATTGGGACTCCGTATTTTCCCATTGTTAAAAGGTACTAACAGCTACGTAGGTATTCGGTATGCGTCAGCTGTCGCGCCGGTCACCCCGGCGCCGACATATCCCGCGACACAGTATAAACTCGGAAGCGGCTATGTTAGGTAGCGATATGGAAAGGCCCTCGACGCAGTTGGACGGAGAAAGACCCCGAAGCTACTCTGGAAGCTCTGCGATTTTACTAGGTCGACCCGGCCCCGGAAGCAGGCTTAGCACCGGTTTTGAAAGCAGCAGCGCATTCGGCATGGGCCAAAGTCGAGGAGACGGGAGCGTGCCGTACACTCCAACCACTCCAGGCGCGATTAGCGCCTTTTCGGGGCCTGGCCGGCAATCCGGTGGAAGCGCATCGCCTCGTGGTGGCCTGGTTAAACTAAAACATACTGAAACGGCTGATCATTTCTATAGGCCTCCAAGGCAGCGTCGGGCAACTCTTGACGGGTTGTCACCAGCCAGCCGCCGACACAGCTCCTGGGGCGATTGGAGCAAAAGAGATTCTGCGAATACCAACAGTGGCGAAGAAATTGACGTGGCAGAAGGTCCATCGATATCAGGAAGAGGAACGCCAGCCCCTGCATACCTTGGGGTTTCGAAAGACGATCCCGACGCAGATGAAGAGGCTGGCAACCCGAAAACTGATTATGCTGTCCGTGAAGCCGACTTTTACTATCGGGTTCGAGGACCCGCGCTTTCAAAGGCGCCTGCGCGTAAACTCAAGACGGGCCCAGCAGATCCTACTGGACCCGTTTCTTCTGCTTCTGGATGGCTTCGAAATGTATTTCGAGGGAAAACCAAAGAAAAAGGAAGAGGATTTGAGGTTGTGCGCAGCGCACGGGCACCCCCACCCGTTTTGATGCCTGCTGAAGAACCGGATGTCTTCTCTGAGCCGTACCGCGATGACCCTGAGCCTTCCAAAGATAAAACACGGGGTGCAGAATCGAATACGGCTGGAGCGCAGGCTCATGCCGAAGACTCAGAAAACCGTACCGAGATTCCAGCGGAACCCCCTTCATTACCACCAATAGCCACCACCGATTCAATTGAACTTTTAAGTCGCACCAGTACGAGAAAGGGTGCGCCAGAGCTTCGAGGATTACGAATCAGACCGCCCACGCTTCCTCGCAAAAGCTCAAAGCGTCATTCTTCCGCTGACCTGGACGTTGGGCCTGAAGGCACCCGAAGAGACGCTTCTCGCTCGCGCCCTTCGACCGGTCAAGAATTCCTCGCAGCCGAAACTCCAAGGCCAAAGCATTTGCAGCTCAGCAATGTTCAGCAGCCAGGCCGGTTACCGTTTGCATCCAAATCATCATCAACCCGCAGCGACCAAATATCTTCGAATTCCGCAGGATCCAGCATCAACAACCCTCCCGAGGAGGACCCGGCCACACCTCGCCCGGCTCACAGAAGAATGAGATCGGGCCCAGAACGGTTCGTCTCGACGAAGCGGACAGATAGACCTTCGAGTTTAGGATATGTCCAACAGTATCGGGCGAGTGATCATATTCACAATGCAAACTCGTCGAGTCCTCCATTTTCCGAGAGCGCGGCCGAGATCGTCAAAGATACTTGATATCGATGTCATCAACGCTCTCTCTTCCTCTCATCCTAAAGGCTCTGGAATCGGGTTTTCTGTTGAGCCTGTATGGCAAACCCATTTGATTGTGTTTCGGGGCGTCAGTCATACTGGCTTTGCCTCATGAAAGAACGAATTTCTTTTTTTCATAAAAAGCACCTCAGCCAGCGACATGTTGTCTTCGACCGGGGCGTTCTCTTGTTACTTTGGTGTTGGATGGGTTATGGCCCTGGAATAATCTCTTAACACGTCTTTCATCCTCTTGTTTCGACTTCATAGAAAGGGAAAGCGGGTTTACGATTCAGGATTGCTTTTTCATCTTGCTCGCGCCTCTAGTATTTACGACATACTTCCTCTGTTGTATAAATAGTTCAGCGATGGTCAACAACTATGACTACTTCATGTATGAAGAGCAGTTACTGATTTATAGCTTTATTAATAACGGAAAAAAATCAGTCCATGCGTTGTCTCGAGATGCTAGTAACATGACTATCCTATTAATAGGGATTCCCGACTCGAATGCTACGGGAGCACAAACCAGCGCACTCGAACGTAGCCAGTCCCAAAATCCATCGTTGGGCGAATCGTGGGCTCTTGATGGCGGAGGGGGATGCATAGCTAGTTAACTATCTAAATGGCCCTATTCTTCGTTTTGTGTCCATCTTCACCACAACCGTTCATCCCGACCCGATTTATTGTCGGAGCCTTGCTCCAAAGCCAAACTATATACAGCACACAGTTTCTGCTAAAAGGGATTTCTCCGGGAGAAAGTTGACCTTGGTGGCGACCCGTGTTTTAGCACCGGGAAGCCTAATAACTATTGGTGAAACAGCTGGTACACTCGACCCCTCTGGCTTTGTGAACAGAACATACTGCAGCGGGTGACCAAAGCACTGATCGCTGACCTGACTTCGTGAGATAGTGACTTTGCCGGTGCTCTTCTTTCTTCCTTCAGCCGCTTCGTTCCCCTCCCCCCGAACCGACCGACCATTTGCTCCCCGCGCCGCCGCTCTGCACGAGGAGCGCAAAAGCAGCGGACGAGTTGACGCTTGATCAACGTGCTCTGCGATCGAACCTGGACTTTCCTCACAGGGGAACAAATGCCGACTCTTCGTCTAAACGACGGAGGTTGATCTCGTCTCCCGCTGAAGGTATTCGGTTGCTAAATTCGCACCTCCGCTCCCCGCTTGACTTGACAACCAGCACAACGACGACGACAACATCTTCCTACCCCGACCTAATGCCACCTCCGACAACGGCCCCTTCGAATTCTAAGAATAACCCCAGAGCTGTTGGTCAAACCGCTCGCGCAGCTGGGGACCCTGCCTCCACTGGCAGTTTGAGCACGCCCATAATCCCCGTGGTGGACTTGACTGGCGACAGTCCGGAGCCTCAGCCTTCGAGAACCGGGCGTGGAATTCGTGTAAGCTCACAGGAATCCGATCCGCATGGTCAAACATGGCCAGAGTTCTTACGAGAGCAGTCGCCCGGCAGGCAGGCAGCGAATAGCTCAAATAATAGTGGGAGTTGTCTGAGGGAGACCAGCCGCAAGCGGAGGTTAGGAAGTGCTGCTAGCGAGACTGGAGCAGAGAGAGTCCGGAGCTCCGGAGCTGGAAGCTCTTCCCGGAGACGAGGCAATCATGGGCTTTTGGAGACACGGTCTGATGACGCCGTCAGTACTACTACGCTACGAACCTCGTCGACAGCAGCTCGCCAGCTGAACTCTTTACGCCATCGAGAGAGGAGCTTTACAGATTACCAACTTCCAAAGTGGCAGCCTGACTCGGAAGTATCGCAGTGTCCAATTTGCGGGCTGACGTTCAGTTTTTGGTGTCGAAAGCACCACTGCCGGAAATGCGGACGGGTAGTTTGCGCTTCATGCTCGCCTCACAGAATCACCATCCCACGGCAGTTTATCGTACGCCCGCCAGAGTCGCGGACTTCATCGTCTACAAATCCACGGCCGACACCACCAAACGCACAAGTCATAAACCTTATTGATGGAGAGGACGATGCTATCAGAACTGGTACCCCCTCCCGGGCTCCCGGACGACAAACTCAACCTTCAAATCCAGCTCTGGGTGGAGGAGAGGAAGTTCGCCTTTGTAACCCATGCGTTCCGGATCCGAACCCAGAACCTCCTCGTCGATACAGCGTTGTAGGATCCTCTGGACACTCCAGCCCGTCTGGAGCAGCAAGCTTGAGGCATCCCCCTCCGCTATTCTCGTCGTCCATGGGCAGTTCAGAGCTGTACAATCACTTGCCGTCTTTCCATAGACCTTCTGCGTCTCTTGGATCAACCTCCCTAGTTGACGTTGACGCAACCCGCGAGTTCCGACGGCATAGGAGCCGCGGGGGAGCGGTACGCGTTGCTTCCCCGTTGTATCGTTAATATTATGCTGATTCTCATAAGCAGTCCCAAGCCGAATCGCCCGAACTGCATCGTGCAGGGCAAACAGGTATTCGAAACGACCAGCTACCCCTGTACGGCGCATTCGATTATACCCTTCCTCCCGTAGCTTCCGGGGTTCGATCTCGACAGAGGCTACCTCAGAGCATGGGTCAACATCCGTCCATTCCAACATACCCTCCGCTCACCGCCAACGATCCGGTAAGCATTCACTCTCGGGTACGTTTGAGGTGTTGAGTGTTAGCTAACCTGCTGCTTGTGTACATAGGGTTCTCATCCGGAGCTGGGTTACATAAGTGTTAATTCTTTGTTCCGCAATCGTACGTCGTCGCGCTCACACCATGGCCCGTCGAGAATAGGCCCAGACCGTCCCCTTCCTAACCCCCCTTGGCCTCAACAAGCCCACCCTGAATTCGAACCCGATCTTTGTCCGATTTGCAACAGGACACTTTCCGGGGACGAAGAAGCGCGTGAAGCTCATGTCCGCGTCTGCATCCAGAGCCATACCAGCAGCAACGGAGAAAGCTCAGACTCGCCTAGCGGCAACGCTCAGATGGTCCATTTCAAGGCCACGGAGAAGGATTGTCTCAGTGAGGATGGCGCGCCGCAAGAATGTACCATTTGCATGGAGGAGTACGAGGTTGGGGCTGAATTGACGCGCTTGCTGTGTTTCTGCAAGTTTCACAAGTCGTGCATAACCGGGTGGTTCAGGCGCAAAGAAGAGTGTCCGTTGCATAAGGTTTTGACTTAGAGCTCTGGGCCACCGAGGCCGGCCGCATCAGGGTCGCTCTGGATGTTTCTTTCTATTTGATTTTGTGCCGTGGTTGCTGTTCTTTTGGGGCGTACCTTTGCCGGAGAGGAAAATTCCAGCGCAGTTGGCATTGGCTGGATTAGCAGGAGTTTTGCGCCGAATATGGGTGGCCGCTTTGGCGTCTTGGACCAGGCGTTTTCGTTATTGGGGCAAGGGCGAATTCGAGCTGGCCTGGGGCGGTTTCTGTCATGTATTTGCTATTGCTCGTTTGGCATTGTTGGGGGCTGTATATCACATTTCAAGCCGAAATATGGATTCACAGGTCCTTTGGAGGATCTATCTAGTTAGGCCTGTGTCATCGCCAGTCCGTACACATACATACTCCCTTACAACGCTGCCCAACCCGTTCCTAGGGACCTGATGAAGATGGATCGGAACTCCCCGTTGTCAGGCTCGCATGTCTGTTTGGTCGGTGGAGTTGGCGGTTTAGCTCCTCCAGCAAGGGTCCGTCAGCTCAACAACAATGATTCTGCCTAGACCGACGCCCTTGCTCTGCTCCCCCAGTTCTCCAGCAGTCCCAAACGGAAATATTTGTCTTCGTTGCAAATTCGCATCAAGAATCCTTTGCGGGAGCCTAAATAGCTTTTCTCTGCAAGATCGGGGTGATTGTGCCATCGGCGCGCCGACATCACCGTGTTCCGAGCCTCGACCGAAGGACTGTCGCCCGCGTCGCCGACAGCAAGGCCATCCACGGCAAACGCAATCATCCGTGCGACGACCGTCCTTTATATTGCATGGGCTTCCATCTTCCCTTTGTTGTAGATGGAGATTGACCGCCATCCCCGGCCAGCTACACAATCCACCTCGTCATCCGCTTCTGCCCCGCAAGCTCCCGTTCACCACAGCCGCCCCCAGTCGCCCCATTCGCATTATTCTGGGCAACCAGGGACCGACAACGGGGCCGTCCCAAGAGATGCGCCTGGGTCGATTCCCACCCCGCAGGAAGCGGACGTCACGCCCCCTTCTGATCCCCTTGCTGATTTAAAACGCCCGCGAGCCTGCGAGGCCTGTCGACAGCTCAAAGTTCGGTGCGACCCTGACCCAGGCCATCCAGATGGATCCTGCAAGAGATGTGCAAAGGCGATGCGTCGCTGTGTGGTCACGGTGCCCACCCGCAAACGACAGAAGAAGGCAGATAACCGTGTGGCGGAGTTGGAGAGGAAGATTGATGCTTTGACTGCCAGCTTGCACGCGTCGAGAGCGCAGGTTTCGGCCGGTGATCTGCTGGCTTCACCGTTGCCTCAGACGCCGGAACAAGAGGTGCGCAGTGAGAATTGGTCGGGGCAGTTTCCATCGCGTGAGAACTCGTCCGCGCGAAGAAATGGAGCGTCGCAATCTTCTCCCAGGGCTTTTGCTGGGGCGAAGAGACACTACAGCGGGGAATTGAAGAGGACTTTTGTGAATCCTATCATCACCCCCTTATCAGCACGACAGCATAGCCCGTCCGAAGATGGGCCTACTGCGCCTACTGGACGGTTGGGTCGACGTGGTGACGAAGAATGGCCACAATTGTGCTCGTCGCTGGAAGGTATTACGCAAACCAAAAGCGAGAATGAATACAGAGATGTCATCGATAGAGGAATCATTGACGTGGAAACTGCAACCAAGGCCTTTGAGCGGTACGTGAACAATATGGCTCCGTCTGCTCCGTTTATCGTGTTTCCTCCTGGCACGCCAATGTCGGATGTTCGACGCACGAAGCCTGTTCTTTTCCTATCGATCCTATCTGTATCCATCGGCCCATTTCGCCCTCAATTACAGGTACCATTTCAGAATGAAACCCACCGGATCTTCGCCGACCGCGTTCTTGTGCGAGGGGAAAAGTCACTGGAACTGATTCAGGCCCTCCTCGTAGCGACTATTTGGTACCTTCCTCCTGACCATTTCGAGGAGCTTAAGTTTTATCAATTCGTCCATACCGCAGCCGTAATGGGCGTGGACATTGGGATGAATCGAAAGACAAAAGCGAACTCCAAAACTTTGGTAATGTGGAAGGAAGTCTTTGGGAATAAAGCCCCCATGGTGGACCCCAAGTCGCTTGAAGCCAGAAGGGCATGGCTGGGATGCTATACTATGGCTGTTAAGTACGTTCTATGTTAATTCCGTGATTCCTTCCTGGCACGCATGTCCGCTCTTTTATCCCTCAGGAGTACTGACCTGTGCAGTGCCTCGATGTCTTTAAGACGGCCGCTCTTCATCCGCTGGCAATCCTACAATGCCGAGTCAATCGAGATGCTCGAGAGCGACCCAGATGCGCTGCCGTCCGATCAAACTATAATTCAATGGGTAAAACTAGCACATATCGGGGAGGACATATGTTTTCATTTTTCAATGGATGATCCTACAATCAGCGTAAATATAACCGATCCAAAAATTCAATACGCCTTGAAGGGATTTGAACGACAGCTAGAAGATTGGCGTAGAGAAGTTCCGTCTGATATTTATACCCGTAAGTCCGGTTATTCTGTTCAATGTACCTCGTATCAAATATCAAAGCTGACAAGACTGTATAGCTGTAATGGAACACTATGAAAATGTATTAAACGTCTACATGCACGAAATTGGTATGCATGTTGACCACAACATCGATGACTTCAAGCCGCCATTTATAGGGGCTATCGGAGAAGAGCGCCAGGTTGATTTGGGAACCGCGGCCCATGTCGATGCCCTGACGGTGTGTTTGACGTCGATTCACAAAGCATTTCAATTATTTTGTTCTATCGAACACCGGGACCTAATGTGCCTTCCAACCATCCATTTTGTCCGTACGGCGTACGCATCAGTCGCACTGACCAAATTGTTTTCGTTGGCTATTTCCTCAGGAAGCCGCCTCAGCCATATATTCAATCCAGCAGATTTCAAAGTTGACTTTTTCCTTGACAAGCTGATTCACCACCTGCGGGCATGTGCCGATACAGACGGGGGACGTCTGGGGGCAAAGTTCGCTCTGATGATGGCCATGCTGAAAAGCTGGCATAGGAGGAGCAAAGACAAGCGGCAGCCCTTGATCGTTCCCTCCTTCTTCAAGGCGAAAGACTCGGGTGATGCGGATTGCGACTCCGTGAAGGAAATCAGTGTGCATGGCAAGGTAGAGACTGATTTCCCCGATGCTATGACAAGGCCCAAGTATACTAATAGCTGTTTGGGTTATAGCCGTCCACCGCCGCTGCACCCACGCCCTTGGATGTTCTGAGTGAAGTAGCGACAGGCGGCCCACAAGACGCTGCATCGGAGCTCGAAAGAAGTAGCAAAATCCAGGCAGTTCCGATTCCACAGCCGAATCAAGCAATAACCGTCCATCCGAGCGCTGGTGCTGCGCCTGTCGATCAAATCCCCACTACCACGCAGGTCGCTCACGACGCGTCTACCACTGCCCCTCCCGGGGCTCTGATAACCCCGTTCATTAATCAACAAATGGGACTCTCGCATATCCCGCCATCCCAGCCGCCCATGACCACCGAATACCAGCCAGCGTTTAGCCAGCATCAGGCATTTGGGCAAGTACCGGATGCCATGGATGGAGTCGTTCAACAGCAAGATCTTTGGACGCAAGGCTTCATGCCAGATGCAGATCTCAATCTTGCGCTAGCTTTCCAGGGGAATGTTTGGGACGATGACTTCTTTCCATTCCCATTCGACTTTAGCGATAAGTCTTTTTAGCTTGGACATGTCAAACGCGTAAAACTGTGGTCTCTGGGGGTTGTTTTGCTGATCGCAACCGGAAAAGTTGTAAATTTTGGCTTCCATTCTTAGGCTACTTTCGAACTGTCCGAATGGTTGGATATAACCTCTTAAAAGATAATGGTTGATGTACACATTTCTTTGTGTGACAGTATCATCTCAAGTCGTAGTCAAGAGTATTCTTGGAGCACAGAACATTTGGATATCCGTGGAGCTAAGAATATCGAATTACCCTGGAACTCAGGAAATGGGACGTATCAGAAAATCGGGCCTCGAAGTGCATGGTCCTTGCATGGTCCTCGCAGCAAAGGAAGCAGGCCGAGGGCTTCCCCAACGCCATCTGGATAAGAATTCATACCGCCCATCCCGTCTACCCACGATTGCATACAAGCGCTCGCCACAAAACTGCGCTGCCCAATGATATGGCACCGTCCTCACCATTCCGCAGATTGGACGTTGCATGAGAAGCGTGGACAGGCGAGGCCGTTGCAAAATGCACCGCACAAGGATGAGCGCTGTTTGCATCGGGATGAAAGCACCGCGAGGTCATGCATATTTTGTGATACCTTTGAAAATCCTCCGCTTGGTGAAATTGTCAAGAGGCGGAATTTGACGCGCATATGGACCGGAGCAGGCTGGATAAGCATATAGCCAGTTGCCTCTTTTCAACGATCACGGTTCGGTTAACGAATGTGTCGACCGTCGGCAATATTGCCTGCTGATTAATGTATCTTGATATCGTTGTACGGGCCTGGGATTGTACAGGAGCTTTCCATACTTTTCGATGGCGCTAACTGAAACCAACCCGTCTTTTCAGGCTCGAGATGAGGCATATTTGACAACCCTCAAAAGGAAACCCGGTCCTGGGAAGGATCCCCGTATTGACTGATGGCAAATTCATTTGGCCCGGCCAGTTGATGGCTCCAATCGCTATCCGCCAGGTGCAGTTCCGCCCCCGAACTCCGGTGGGAAGTAAGAAGAGGAAGATGACGACGAAAAGAAAATGTCGCAACAAGCTCTGGATTCGGAACTGGGCTGGATGACGCGTGATAGATGCTCTCCGCAATGGCGGCGGGTTCACGAGTCTCACTTCGTTGGCTGCTTCGGCCCAGGACGTCATGGGCAGAGACAGCTAGGGAGGTAGCTATGTAGCTAGTTACTAAACGTGGTGCGCGGGCTGGCCTCTTTGTTGGTCACCAAGCCGTGTTGACGTGCCACCGCGCTAGCCTTGTTGCTCCGAATACCTTTTTTAGAGAAAGGAACAGGCACTGCACTCAGAAGCGCACTGCCGGCCGTGAAAGGCAAATGGTGAGCGCGGGAGGAGATGAAGAGGGGGTTCTGCCCCCGCGAAGGCATTGATATGGCGCTAGATCATACCCGTTACCTAGGTAGATACATATTTAAAGCATTCTCCGCAGAGACCCCTCAGCGTCTTGAACCGGCTGGGCGCCTGTACTAGTAAATACTGCTTGCTATATAATCGTTGTTGGCACTCGTGTGCCTTAATCCCCGACGATGGTATTGCCTACACAGCTCCTATAAAAAGCTGATATCTCTGATATCCCGGTCCATCATGCCAGCCTCCGCCTCTTCAGCCGTTCAGACCAAAGGCATATATCATGGCCTTCCCGTCTTTCCCGAGTCAATCAAAGGCCTGACGGCCATCGTCACCGGCGCAAATGGCATCTCCGGCGACCATATGATTCGAGTCCTTGCCGAGTCTCCTGAGCGATGGACCACCATCTATGCAATGTCGCGGAGGCCACCTGCGGTACCGAGAAAATGGAAAACAAAAGTCCATCACATCCCGTTGGATTTCCTAAACAGCTCGCCGGAAGAGTTGGCCGAAACCATGAAGAAGCATGGAGTGAAAGCGTATGTTTACATCCCGGCAAAGAATCAAGCATGGCTGGAGGAGAGTCGCAACTGATAGTTCTGATACTTAGGGATTATATTTTCTTCTTTGCGTATGTGCAGACCGAGCCCAAGGAGGGTGGCGGTTTGTGGTCTGACGCAGACGAAATGTCGAAAGTAAACGGTATCAAATTCTGCTCCCATATCTGAATTGGTCCTTGGCCTGTGCTGATGGTCTTGATTATAGGAGCGCTTCTACGAAGGTTTTTGGACGCTTTGAAGCAAGCAGCTATCACGCCAAAGAGGTTCATGCTCCAAACCGGCGCAAAGAACTATGGCATCCATTTAGGACCCACAATCAATCCGCAGCATGAATCTGACCCGCGAGTCACACTTGAGCCAAATTTTTATTATCCCCAGGAAGATATGTTGTTTGAGTACTGCAGGCAGACGGGCGCCGGATGGAACGTTGTCAGACCATCCTACATTCTGGGTGCAGTAAAAGATGCTGCAATGAACCTGGCATATCCATTAGGGGTGTTTGCTGCCGTTCAGTCCTATCTGGGAAAGCCATTGGTGTATCCGGGCGATATCACCTCTTTCCACGCAGTAGTAGATTTGTCGACGGCTATGATGAACGCTTATATTGAGGAATGGGCGGTGTTGGACCCCAAAGCCGCAAATGAAGCCTTCAACGCCAGTGACGGCAGCCCGTTTAGTTTTGGTAAGTTCTGGATCCAGCTCGCGAAGTGGTACGGGGTTGGATGTGAGCTTCCGGACGAGAATGTCGCGTACAACACGATGCAAACTGCATACGAACCGCCGCCACGAGGGTGAGTTTACGTTGTTGCGGATCACAAGCCCTGTTATCAATTACAATAGCTGATCGCGAGTGGTAGATTCGGTCCACGAGGAACGCATCGCTATCGCTATACCCTGACAGAGTGGGCGGGTCAGCCAGAAGTCCAAGTAGCGTGGAAAGCGCTCATGAAGGAATACAACCTTGAATCAGACCCCATCAGCAACGAGCAGGATCGCGCGAGAATCTTTGGCTTCGCGGACAGTGCTCTCCTCGGCGTCACCGCGCTCCAGTTCAAGTAAGTCCAGCTCTTTTGCGTCGTCTGGCGGATGCATGGCTGATTCAAACAGCATGGACAAAGCGCACAAACTCGGGTTCTTCGGGACGGTCGACACTGTAGAATCCATGCGAAAGGTGCTCGAGGAGTTTGCGGATCTCAAAATGCTTCCGCCGTTGCCCAAGCCCAAGTCCGTTTCTCTGTGAGAATCGATGTAGTTGACGACCGTTTTGATTACCTAATTTGTAACTCCACGACACTTTTATATATATATCGGCCTTGGAGCCGTTTGTGTACTCGATATGAAATGATAAATGCCAATTGACGACGATGCTCAATCTTTGCTTCCATGTATTGTCATCTCTCAAGTTGTTGCCGCTTTTCCTGGTGAAATAGTTAACTAGTTAATCAAGTTCCAACCATCTCGGAACAAGTATTGAGAGTCCGAATGAAAGCAACTTTTAAAGGATTAATACTCCAGGCTGGATCCTGTCAGAGCAAATAACCACTGCCAACCGCCAGTTACAAAAGGAATCTTTGAAGAGAGCACACGATCTTCGAGCCTGCTTGGTCGAACCGATGAAGACAGTGCCGCTCTAACACCAGAAGCACCATGCTCACGAGATGCCGGACATGGAAAAACACAGAAATATTGGGTGCATATGATGTTAGCAAATGGAGAAAAATAGGTGGGAGCTTCTATTCTGATTCCCAGCAGGTTATACCGTTGATTTCTGACATGAGAACGTCCAGTACAAATATGCGTCGCCGTAGCCTATTGCCTCCTGGCTGCAGGCATCATCTTTGGCTATGCCGCACTCAAGCCAGTGCTCATAAGCGAAGGCGTTTACAGGAATCGCTGCACGAAAGAGGAGCTTGATGAAGGAGTGGACGTTTGCTATGGACAAGAATTCCGGTTCGTGCCTCCCACTGCTTCATCAATCGGGTCGATAAACAACCGTCTGACTGGCCTTTAGGTTGAACCTCATGTTTTCCGTCGCAGCCGTTGTAACCAACCTTTGCGCGCTGCCGGTTGGGAGAATACTTGATTCATGCGGTCCGCGAGTCACAGGGACCATCGGCAGCATCTGCATTGCCCTTGGTGCTCTGCTCTTCGCCAGTCCCACCCATTTTCCCTACGATGGGCATATAACGGGCTACCTGTTGCTTGCTCTGGGGGGCCCGTTTGTGTTCATATCGGCCTTTCATCTCTCAAATACGTTTCCAAACCATTCTGGACTTATTTTATCAATGTTGACTGGCGCATTCGACTCCTCAAGTGCAGTATTCTTGCTATTTCGTCTATTACATCGAAGGGCTAGCGACGTTTTCACTGTCAAGCGCTTGTTCCTGTTTTATTTGCTCGTTCCGGGATTCATCTTTGCGTCCCAAATGCTGTTGATGCCGTCGCGGTCGTATAGCACCGTGAGGGAACTCTTCCAACACGCTGAAGAGACGCTAGCAGAGGATGGTTATGCGGACGGAGATGCCTCCGCACATATCCAAGGATTTAACCCGGAGGACGTATCTCCTCGTTATCAGCGCCTGATTTCGAAGATCAGAAGCCTTGTCGATGACCAGAACGACAAATCGAACTCTGATGAGCCGTCCAGTTCCGCAATCAAAACCGACCCAACTTGGGGAACGATGCATACACATTCGTCTTTCCAACAAATCCGTTCTCCGTGGTTTATCCTCATCTCCCTTTTCACCGTCATTCAAATGCTCCGCATGAATTACTTTATCTCCACCATCCGCCCCCAGTACGAATACCTTCTTTCATCCCCCGAGCAAGCAAGGAAGCTAAATCACCTCTTCGACTTCTTCCTCCCACTCGGTGGTCTTATCTCCATCCCCTTCATCGGGATCATCCTTGACCAAACAGCTCTATCCAGCATTCTCACTCTCCTCGTGACTGGAGCTACTCTCATCGGAGTTCTAGGCTGCATATCTCATAGCCTATTTGCCGCATACGCCAACATTGCTCTCTTCGTGCTCTACCGACCATATTTTTACACTACGATTTCGGACTACGCGGCGAAAATATTTGGATTTCAAACGTTTGGAAGGGTGTATGGATTGGTCATCTTCCTCGCGGGCCTAGGGAATTTTTTCCAGAGCTACCTAGATATCTTGACAATGAAATCTTTGGGAGGAAACCCCGTGCCGGTGAATGTTGGGCTGACGATCGCTGGGGCTGTGGCCGGTGTGGTACTGGTGTGGTTTGTTTGGTGGAGGACAAGGAAGTCTTTGGGAACAGGGGTTTGTGATATTTCTGAGACTGAAAGACTACTAGCCGGTACGGCGGATGAGACACGAGACGGGTCTTATGGCACTTTGAGGCGCTAGGAATGAATTGCTACATCTGCGGATATATTTCATTTTGGATGTTTATTTATGTTTATACATGGAGTGGGCCAGACTGTTGGACAAAAAGCCTAACCCGAAAGTCTTCAAGCCCTCAACTTCTCGCTAGCTCGAAATCAGGCCAAGGTAATGACACAACTCCACGAGTACCACGGGTCAAACAGCACTTGGTCCACCTTTCACTCGCCGAGGGATATACTATAGCGCATGATATATGTTGATTTGCCTTAAAGAGAGATATGCTTATACCTCCCACCGTCTCCATTCGGCGTCTTAAACTCCCCCAAGGCCCTTTCTACCACTTCCATGTAGCCCAGCACTCTTTCCTCATGCCATCTTCCGCCAACAATCTGGACCGCGGTAGGCAAGCCGTGCATCGCGTCGGCATCATAATACTTCCATGCACCTCTCGACACGGTGTTATCCGCACCGAGCTCCTTCAAGATACGTTTGTACGAATTCTTCTTCGCCGGTCTACCATCCGACGTAACCAGTGCGTCCTTGGTCCTGTCGACATGACCAACCGGGACAACACCGGCAGAATAGTCTAGCATGTTAAATAAGAAAGTATAGCCGCAAGAACTGAAGCCGTCTCGCATGGCGCCGTGGGGAAGAGCTGGCGTGGCGTTGACAGGGCAAAGGATGAAGTCATAGCTTTGTTCTTTGGCGTTCCACCAGTTATGCCAGGTCGCGCGGTAGGCTTCACGTTGGGCAACGAGCTTCCATAACTGGGTTGACGTCTTGAGACCGAAATCTTTCATCAGGTAGGCCCAAACTTTGTCTCGTTTGATATAGCGGACGTAGAGATAATAGAGGTAGCGGAAAGGTCGGCACATGTTGGCGTATCTGGTGAGCTTATCAGCACCGGGATCGGAAGTTTCACCGGTGCGCATGTGGGAGTTGAAGGTTTGACAGCCATCAGAATTGAGGAGTTGAGAGGCAAGGTTGAGACCGATCAATGGGGTAGCTGTAGGAGGAGGCGTAATGTCGACGAGGGTGTGGCCGGCAGCAGCGAGGGCAGCACGAGTGGTATCAATGGCTCGCGCAATAGCAGGGGCGGGCGGTACAACCCCTGCACAGTGATTGTTAGCCCAGGTTAAAGATCAGATGTATGATTAGGGAGATGCTACCATCAGATTTCATGACCCCGATTCTCAGCTTCTTTGTCTTCGCATCATTCTCCTCATCATCTCTCCAACTAATCGGATGGACCGTGGTATCATATTTCCATGGTTGCATTTGAATGATAGAGCGGGTGAAGTAAGTTAAATCGCCTAATGTCCGGGCCATCGGACTGAAAACACTCGGTACCCCTTCTTGACCAGCCATGCTGGTGCTAACGCCAGCTTTGGGCCAGCGCCCAGTACTGCATCGAAGAGAATAAATTCCGCTCCAAGCAGCCGGCACACGAACAGAACCGGCGACGTCGGAGCCAACGCCGATACGGCCTCCCAGGGCAATCAAAGCACCTTCGCCACCGCTGGAGCCTCCAGGAGAGTAGTCATGGACGTGCGGATTGCGGCACACTCCCCACAAAGGGTTCGAAGACTCAAAGGACAGTAAAGTAATCGGTAAAGCAGTCTTTGCGTAAGGAATGGCACCTAGTAGTAGAATACAATTGTTAGCTCGGAGACCATACCGCAATGTCTTGACGAGAAATTCCAGTCCACCGTACCAGCATCTTTGAGCAACTTGACCAATCCTCCATCCTCAGTAGCAGGCTTTCCGGTATACCTCGTATACCCTACCGATGTATCGAATCCCTTGACCTGTATAGAATCCTTCAACGAGACGGGAATACCAGCCAGCGGCCCTTTTAAATTGACCTCCTCATCGGCCCATTTTTCAGCCTCGGGGAGAAGCAATTCCGTTACACAGTTTGTTTTCTCTTGAGCGTTCAAAGCTACCTTGCCATATGTCTGCAAGACGGCTCGAGCAGAGACAGCTCCGCTCTGCACGCCTTCTACAAGGTCCTCGATTGGCTCATCGATGATCGACCTGTCGAAAGCCGTGAATCCAGCGTGGTAAGCTGCAGGAAGGTTTGCAAAACGTTGTGCGCGTTCTCTCTGTTTCAGATCACTGTGCGCGATGGTGGTATTAGCTTCTTGTTGAGATGGACAAGCTTGAGAATGCCCAAAGGCAAGGGGTGAAGTTACCGAGCTCGGCGATGCTGGAAGTAATCGAACGGAGGAAGCATTTTGGCTGCCTGATGACCACTATTCCACTATGACTGCTCCCTCACAGGATGCCTTAAGTGCGAAAAGACGAGGGTGAACGATGTCGGGACAAGGGATGCTGGGAGCTATAAAAAGAGCTGGCTCGGCGTCCGCGTCTATCGACTGGATGTGTTGCGCCGAAACCGAGTGCGGGGAATCCCCCGACCCTAAGTTCCAACCCGGCATAGTCTCCTTAACCCCGACGCGCGAGTCCATCCCGGTCGCTATTCCAGCGTGTCCGTCACGACCGCCGTGATAGCCGACCACAAGCTGGCACGCAATACTGCTTCCGCGCCCCATGTCTCTCATCTTTTTTTCCGCCGGCTTGACGTCCTCTTGCGCTTGTTTCCCGACGGTCACTAGCTGACTAAGTCGCTGACTAAGAACAGTCGGCCGATAGAGTACACGTGACATACTGCTTATCTAAACTCGGCGTCCAGCGCTTTACCCGATTTGGTGAAGCCAGCCCAAGCTGTGGGAGCGCCGTCGATATACAAGAGTATCATAGCATAAGGGGGCAACGACTGTGCCTGCAAGGACATCGTATTAGGTCTAAAGCGCTGGACTAACGGGCTTCACCATGGTGTCTAAGGTCGGGTCATGGAATAAGCTATAGGTGCCCCCTGATAAATGTAAGTTGATTAGGCATTGCTCATAACCTGGAATGGAAAAGATTCCCGTTTGCTGGACTTTTGGAAGTTGGATAATATGATTTTGAGTCTGGATAGCCCAGAAACATTTCCCAGTAGAAAGTTGTAATCCAAATATCATCTTAACCTCGCAATTGAGAGCCCCTTTTCTAGAACCTCATAGAGGCTCAATCATAGATGTAGAACATGGCATGGTATATACTATATGAAGCAACAGAAATAGCACCCTGGAACAAAAGCCTTGCTTTTTGAGCATTGCATAGACGCTGCTGCTTGCAATGTGTTCTCCCAGTCCACCAACCCTGCTCACGTGAGTGTTGGTTGGCTCTGTTTATATGGTCTTTCAAGGGGATTGCCGGAACAGGATAGTGACTAACCGTCACTTTGGCGCTAGAGAGCACGCGAAAAAGTGAGACTGGGAGAATATTGTGAGCAGCAGTGGCTAGATATGAATCCAAAACAAAGCACCTTCTTTCGCGTCTGGGAATTCTGTCCCTCCATTTGATCTTCATCTTTCCTTACATGAAAGACCTGAAAGAACAAGCCTTCCTTCTCAGCTCTATCTTTGCTCTTGCATAGCCGTCGGTTCTCTGCAGCTAGGAGTTCTAGCTTAGCACCAAAGAATCTCTTCAGGAGTCAAAGGCAAGCCATTCTAAGAGTAGAAGGCCACAGAAACAAGTCAAGTTTCCATCAGGTATGAAATCAGACCTTATAAAAAGGCTGCAAGCTGACCCCAAGCAGATACACCATGAGTATACCAATCCATACCACGAGAAGGGTTTCTCTTCCTTGCGGTGATATCATTGTCACCGCCGGGACTGAGGACCATCGTGCTGTCTTACCACCAAATGTTTCTTCTCTCAAGATTCTCGGTAGCGTGAGTGACTACTACCAAATGGCTGCGTACCAGTCAAACGGAAGGTCATCGATCCTTGACGGCAAGCCCTTCTTTACCTTTGGTGAGACGATCCAGAAAGGCCACAATGGCGAGTTTATAGGTGTGATTCCAAACACCAGTGCTCCTGTCGTTTATAGGGAAGCGAACCCGATCGAAGTCACACACATGCCAGAGGGAGTCCCAGCTCCGCTGGTCGAATTAACCGATACGGAGAGAAGTTTCGAGCGCGAGTCAGGCTACAACATTATACTCCAGCCAGAGGGAGGGATCTGCGAGGCGACGCCACCTGGCCACGGCTGGACATGGTATAAGAAGTATATCGAGCAGCAGAATATTGACGGGACCATGACGAGAATCTATTATGGAACCGGAATTGCCCCAGTGAAGATTGAACAGACGACAGGGCAGCTGGTCAGTAGACGAGTTGTTCATGGGCAGTTGCTTTTCGATCGCCAGCAGCCGGGATTTGGAACCTTCTGCGCAGTCCGAGACGGCACTTGGTACTATCTTTGGGGCCAACTCGGAGAGCATATATACCTTGCTCGTGTTGGGATTTGGTACGCGATCCAACGTGAACTATACGAATTCTGGAACGGATATACGTTCACGCACGACATGGATGCGATGGTCCCCGTGCTTGCCGGCTATTCAAGTGGCTCGTTCTTTCGCACAGACCTTTTCGGACATCGATACAGCTGGGCTTCATCGGAACGGTTCCCTCGCAAAAGCCTAGCATTTTTGTCGGGTATGCCAATTGCGCTGCAGGGCCGTATAAAATGACGAGAGTCGTTGATTTCCAGGCCGTCCCGGGGAAGTACCATGGAAATAGCTTTGTATATGCGCATCCATGGGCATTCAAGGAGAGTGACGGCCAGCTCATGGTGACCTGGTATGAAGAAGCTGCGGAGGCTGTTATTGGGGCGAACTTGCAATTTGATATGCGTGAGTAGCCTCATCCCCTAACACGACCTCTAATCGAGCAGCTAATAATGCATGAACCCAGTGCACCAAGGCGGGTTCTGGAAGGACATATGTTTGAGCGAGTTGCCAGGTAGGTGCCCGTTGCAACCCTCAAAGATTGGGGAGGCAGACCAGCTAACATCAGCAGCTGTCTTGTTGGGGCGAGTCCGAAGCCGAACTGCCTTGATTGAAGCAATGGCCCAACTCGCAGAAGTGCATCGTAAGAAACCCAGAAAGCGAATTCCATAACTGACAGCGCTAATTATGAAGTAGAGGAGATAGAGATGGCAAACGATGGTGGAATCACCATCAGGCTCGTGGGCACAACTCGGGAGTCGCTCGACCAAGCGACCAAGAACATCCGCGAGCTCATCGTCAACTTGTACAGGGAGCTTCGCAAGGAAGAAGGGTTCAACGCACGAGATATGGGATTTGAAAGGCGTTCATTGGGGTTCAATTTTCGCAGACGGGCCAGGGACGCAATGAGGAGAGTCTTCCGTCGGTCTGCACGTCGATACGATGAGGAAGACTACTAGTAGCCCGAGCTCAGGGCTTCGCACGGGGAGAATATGTCTCTACCTGTGCGACTCGTCACGTTGTCCGTGCCATGCAGTGCGTTTGTTGGCGGTGGAATCTGTTATTGCGGTTCGTTTGGACGGGGGTTTCAGGGGGTGAAGTTGCCATTGCCATTTTTAGTCCAGCTTGTATCATTAGTTAGTTAGTCAGCAGTGGAGTGTCACGTGCACGTTGCCACTGGAAGCTGCAGGAAGAATGAATCTCGTTGAACATTGCGATTCTGCTCTCGAAACACGCCTCATCTTCGTTTTAGCTGCTTGAGACCTGCGCGGGGGAGCTACTTATCTGTAGGCGACCGCTGATCACCTGCTTTAATATCAATTCTGCTGCAAAAATGGCCAACTATCTCGCGTCCATTTTCGGAACGGAGCAAGACAAGGTCAGTTACTCCCTCCCGCTTCCTCTGCTTGGAGCGCAAGGCACTTACACCCGGCTAGGTCAATTGCTCGTTTTACTATAAAATCGGTGCCTGCCGCCATGGCGACCGTTGCTCTCGAAAACACGTCAAGCCCTCCTATTCTCAAACCATTCTCCTACCCAACATGTACCACAATCCGGCATTCGATCCCAAGAACAAGATGAACCCTAGCCAGCTGCAGAATCACTTTGATGCATTTTACGAGGATTTATGGTGTGAGATGTGCCAGTACGGCGAACTAGATGACGTGATGTTGTGACATAACACGACATAGATGCTCCACTCTGATTAGCTGGCAATAGTGCTCATGTGCTCCGCCTTATAGATTTAATCGGAAATGTCTACGCGCGATTCAAGTACGAAGACTCTGCGCAAAAAGCCTGCGACGCGTTGAATTCCCGTTGGTACGCTGCGAGACCCATATACTGCGAGCTGTCACCCGTGACAGATTTTAGAGAAGCCTGCTGTCGGTTGAACAGTGGCGAAGGATGCGTGCGTGGTGGATTCTGCAATTTCATACACCGTAAAGAGCCCAGCGCAGAGCTAGAAAGAGATTTGGAGCTGTCAACGAAGAAATGGCTGAAGATGAGAGGAAGGGATGAACGGAGTGCCAGTCGCAGCCCAAGCCCGGAGCCGGGTAAAAGGAAACATTGAAATGGCACGTTGAAACCCAGATCTTATGTGGTCGGACCGGGGCCTTTTTCCATGGCGTGGTCTAATACAGCGGTGATGCCGAGAGGGCAAAAGGTATTTGGGCAAGGCGTTCAGGCGACGGAGTTGTGCGCCTTGTTGGGTTTCTCTGGAAATATTTCATTCAAGAGCACTGAGGGTGTCCAGTTAGTTAACCTGTAGCTACTTGAGCGGCTTATTGGTCGAGACAGTCGAAATCAAAGAACCAGCATCTCGACAAGTGCGGTCTGAGGACGAGCTGCAACCCTTGAGCTCTGTAACTAGTCGGACGATGCCTTTCTGCCTTTTATTCCCAGTGATCAGCGACCTCCGCTGATTTCCATTCCATCATGATCGGTTCGTGTTTTGTCCTCGCTCTCATGCAGACGGTGAAGCCGTTTTTCAAAGGCCCGAACTCTTGGCCTCTAGGCTTCGCTAGGCAGCACATCGATTCTCGCGCATATCCCTGCAGCGCCAGGCCTCAAGCCAGCGAATCGCCGTTTGGGCTGACAGGCGCCTGTTCCCGCATGGAGGGGTCGATTATCGTCAAGGCCGTTGATTTCCCAGGCATTTGGCAGGTAAAAGATCCATATATTAGGTCAATGTTTCGGCTTTGGCTTCTGAGCATCCTCAACTGCAGTCTGCCAGGCCAGGGTGTTTGTTCCACGGCAAGACCGTGCCGCAAAACACATTTCGACCCGAATGAACCCATTGTCATAATCCCGACTGTTCGTCTCTTCTACGCTCAAGGATTCTCTTTAGCACCCGATCTCCTCAGCTTCAATGACGTCGGCGCTGCAACGAAACGCCTTGCCAGTCAGATATCCGCAAACCCGTGAACAGCACGCGCTGGATTTATGACTATTTACTACTTATAGACTAGCAATCGCAGGGAGGAAATAAGCCTTGGTCTTGTTCGCCAACCTGGCTGTCAATTGTCCGAATGCTGGAGTTAGTCGAGTACAGTCCCATGGCATCAAAAGATATCCCGGCAGAGATGCAATGGAACTATCTGATCAACCCAGACAAAAGTCCCACTGTCCAGTTTGAACAGCTATGTCTAGGGATTGCAAATTTCATAGTAATGATACCAGTCCTGCTTCTACTAAGGAATTTGGCTGACCCTTTTTGCGCAGTCAAATCTAGCAAAGTCACATACGCGAGATCTCACTCCCGACAAGCTCGCGGCGTTCTACAAGAAAGTTGGCGGAGACTACGATAGTATTTTCCTATCGACGCCTCCTGCTTCACTTTCCTTTATATACCAGAAGCTGGGGTGCTTTCATTCACTGCAACCGACTTGCGATGCCTTTGAGCCGCCCTCCGTCCCAGCATTGCTTCCCCATGGGTTTGTCCGATGGCAGACGATCCAACTGCTATTATGCCCGGAAGAACATGGCAGCCACTTGCAAGAAGCCATAAAGAAGTTCGATATCATCAATCCAGCGACTGGCGAAGCTTTCCCGAAGGAGATCTCTCGATCAGTCTTCCCAACGGAACCCGACCCAGAGATCGTACAATGGCACGACTCCTTGAGCAAAAAGCTCGAGCACGATTTCTGGGCAAGCAAGACTGGCATTTTCCCTGGCCGTTCCGATTCCCCCGATAAGCAATCTCATCGGCATCCGAACGCCAAAGACACTTTGGGGCATAATGCGCGCCATGACTACTTCTCTCAAAGGCGTTCCGGCCGGGACGTTCCTGTGAGAATGACTCCGAATGACAGTCCTCCTCCATTTCCTCACTCGCGCGACCACGCAGCGCATGATGAACCATCGCCTCTAGCCGGGAGCCCAGAGCCAAGGCAACAATATTTTGAAAAGGAGCCACGCAACACCGTTAAAGAGAGCCGATCTTCCCAGTCTTTTCGCCGTGGCCGCCTGTCTCCTCCGCGTGAAGATAAAAGGGGCCGTTCATGTACTCCTAGCAGGCTTCGCTGGTCCCAGAGGGCGACTGATTCTTCCGATTCGTCCGATTCATCAGATTCCGAGGATCTGCCTTCGCCGATACCAAGAATGCCCTGCCAGCACCATTTACATTACACTGAAGTGCCCAGCCAGCGTCGACACTCGCACGACGTCGGAGCTTCCAGCCAACGTCGATGGAGCAAATCACCCAACAAGCCGCGAGGGCAAAACTCCAAAGAAGACCTGCAATCCCATCATTCCCCAGCGACTCAGCACGCCCGCCAATACTACTACGCCTACGATCCCACGATAGATGAAAGTGACACAGAACACGGATCATTCAGACCCATGCCATCGACAACCAAACCGCCGTCAGCTCGCCGCTCCTCTCACCAAGACCACCATGAACGTTATCCCATGGATCCACCTCCCGAGTTCGAATACCTTTCCCGCACCACCTCCGCGCCAGTCCGCAAGCCTCTCTACCCCAACCCCAACCCCACCTCGAGTACTATGCGACCGAAGCCAAAAGAATACCACGTCATCCACCCAGACTATACCAGGTCAGAACCCACATCTCCCGGCCCCCGCCCCAGTGGCTCTGCACGGCACAATTCGCACTCCAGAACCCCGCCTGGTGGTATGTACACCCGATACTACGTCCCCAGAGCGGAACCCGAGCCTTATCTTCAGGCAGTACCACCGCCGCAGCCATCGCGGTCACGCCGGAGTTCGAGAACGAGGACGCCAGCGCGGAGTCGAAGCAGAGGCAACGCGGAGCGGCCGTTTACACAGCCTGGAGGTATGAAGTACCAGTCTATGCCAGGGCCGGGCAAGAGGTATAGAACTGAGTGGGAATAGACTTGCTTTGCCTTTCTCGCAGATGGTAATTCGCGCCTCTGGTCTGACGCTGCATATGAGAAATATGACTTATTCACACATATATACTTCGATGCCTTCACTCGCGCTAAATTTGACGTTTCATGAACTTATCATGGCATTCTGCAGCTTGAAATCTTATGACCTTCTCAACTCAAAATGACATTCCACTTTGTTCATACAATTTAGATAGGTTAATTATAACGGCTCCACGGATAAAAACTCGCACGCATTCAAATAGTTTCCAATCAATCTCAAAAGTAATGCCACAAAGCAGCCCATCCCAGCCCAACCAGTGCCAGCGACCACTTTGCGCCCTGGGTCTGAACCAAGCTCACTGCTCCACTGCTATTCCCGCCTCCATTACTACCGCCGCTATTCCCATTGCCTCCCGGTCCGCTACCACCACTGCCCCCGGGAACGGGTTGCCCACCTTCCGCCACAGCTCTGGGCCATACACATGTTAGCCTCGTCTCTGCCAGGTCCGGCATATCTCCATCAGTCTGATTCCGTGTCGGTTTCGAGGACGGATACGAGAGCAAGAATATAGGCGTCGTCTGGTTCAACGTGGCTAGATACGGCTCACGATCGTCTGGGCGGTGGGGGTTTTGGGAGTCGGTGAAGAGGTATCTGGCGAGGAGGAACCGGCCGCGTCTGGTAGCGTTGGCGGGAGATAGGATGTCTAGTAGAAAAGATATTTTAGCAGGTCCCGTCTTTAGAGAAAGGGGATGTTAGTAGTTAGAAGAGTGAGTTCTCCTGACCCCCGGCAACATCAACCTCGAGCCCCGTCACCTCTGCACAGGGCGAGCGCTGGAGTCCGCGCGCATGCACGCGCTCCACTGCATTCCTCAGCTCCCGCTCCATATCCCGGATCTCATTATCTCGATACACGCCCGAACAGCGGCCATCGCCCCGCCGCAGGTTTGCGTTGTCCCTCTGCTTCGGCTTCATTACCACGGCGCAGACATTCCGGGGCACGTCGTCCCCGTCCCGGTCGCGGTCGTGGTCGATCTCGATTTCGCCATACAGTTCAAAGAGCTTATGCACCACGCTCTTGTCAGCGTCGACCTTGACATCCATCACCTTGGTGTTCCAGGTCCACTCGTTGTCGTCGTCGGGGTCGTCGCGGTCATCGTCGCCGTCGTCGTAGCCATCGTCATCACGGTCGTGGTCACGATCATCATCACGGTCATTGTCGCGGTCGTTATCACGGTCAATATCGCGGTCATCATCATCACGGTCATTGTCGTCGCGATCATCCCTCACCGCCAGCCGCCGAACGCTCCTCGGCCCAAGCGAGAGATCATCCACATCAAAGGTCCCCGTCGCATTGGGATGCCGCAGCGCCAGATCATAGTTTGCATACGGCGAGCGACACGTTACGCCCACACAGACATCCGCAGCAGCAGGGCCAGTGCACACGACAACGGCCAAAACGACCAACGCACACAGGTGGGTATAACTCGGAAACATGTCTCGTTCCCAATTGCAAGGCCAAAAGAAACAGAAATTAGACAATATGGAGAATCCCAGGTGTATCTTCTGAAGCGGGAATCACCCGCCTTCATATAGAAGAGGCATTTTGGCATCCTCGAGACAACGGACTTGCCTGGATGAGGTCATAAAAGCACACAGCCTACGATCAGGACAAGAATAGCTCTTGTAAGCGCACACAAAAGAAATCGGCGGTCCATTCGCTGGATCTGTGTAACACATTCTCACCCGTCTGTCGGTGGGCGTTGAGAGCATCTCCCCACAGCGCTCGATTCCGGCCATGATCCAAGATGATCAGCAGGATCGACGGAACGAAGAGTCGGTGCACCATCGCCGGCTTTCTTTGCTCTTTGCATTGTGCTTTGAACCCAGCATGACGTCGCAAGTGCCTTGGCGTGCTTGAAGCGAGAATAAATGCATGTCGATGGTGGCGAGGGACGAGAGCTGGCAGTCAACGGCGGCTGCCTCGACTCGAACGGGGAGCTGTAGCCGCTGCGGATGGAAGAGACGGGCTTGGGACTACGAGGCAGCGTGGCTGAAGAAAAGTCATATGTAACTATTGAAAAGTACAGAGTACTAAAGCTCTACGCCTTTTTGATTAACCATACTATTAAAAAGGCAATACGGCAACTTCCACGCGCTGTAGCAGCTTGGGACAAATACGACGCTATGAAAAGAAATGTGCATGTTCTCAGCCCGGATGTAAAAAAGTAGGCAAACGCTTCCAGCAATACAAACCCACGCAGCAGTCTAGTGCTCCAAGATACGCAGACTTCCCTGGACAACAACATTTTCCAGGATGGAGCCGGGTGGAATATCGATTGTGCTGCCCTCCGTAGCCACGATGATGACGGTTCCCTTGAGAGTGACGCCGCGACCCAGGTTGACGGCTCCACTGATGGTCAGATGGTCGAGCTCGAGGATGCGAGGGATGCTGGAAATACGCTTCTGGAAGTCGGAAACTTTCTTGAAGTCGGTTCCCAATTTGATGAGCGGAGCGCCGCCGAAGCGGTTGGGATCCATGACCAGCTGGCCGTGCTGGAGAGTGTAGAGATCCGACTTGACCAGCATGAGGTCGGAGCAGGTCTTGACGGGCAAGAAGCGGCGACGGGGAACGTTCACGCCGTGGGCGTTCTTGAAGAAACGGATTGCCGCCCCGACGGCCGTCTCCAATTGGACGATGGAGATGTCAGCCTCTCCCTTCTTGTCTGCCGAGATGGACTTTTCATTGGGAATGATTTCCATCTCAAGGGCGTTTTCCTCCACGACGCGCTTGATCGCGCGAAGGTTCAGCCAGATGTTGTTGGTGTTGAAGTACTTGAATTTCTTGATGGACTTGAACTCATTCACATGCTCCTTGGGCACCTGGGCGATTTCCAGCAGGCGAGCCTTGCCCTCGTAGTCGATGATGGTGCCACCCTTGACGTCCGCCTTGGTCTTGTCGGTCAGTTCCATGATGTACTCGGATTCTTTCTTGACCATGTGCTCCAGAATGCGCATGTCGACCACTGCTCCCAGGTTGTCCGCGTTGGACAAGAAGACAATCTCCACGCCGCGTTCAATCAGCTTGTCCAGGGTGCCCGAGTTGTAAAGGGACTCGAACACGTCTCCGTGGCCGGGAGGGTACCAGTCTGTGATTGGGGAATAGTAGCTCTTGGGCGCTGGGAGCAAAGAGTCCTTGAGCACGCGGGGGTAGCGAGACTGGTTAAACGTAATGATATCGATGTTATGGCCTTCATATTTCTTAATGATGGACTGGGTGTCGTCGTCGGTATTGAACGAGTTCATCAGCACGAGGGGAACGTTGACGTTGTAGGTGCGGTTGAGGTGCTCGATCTGACGGACGGAGAGATCGAGGAAAGACATGCCTTCGCGCACTTCGATGACGGACTTTGGGCCGACGCAGCCCATGGAGGTGCCCAGGCCGCCGTTCAGCTTGATGACGGCCAATTTCTTGAGATAGTCGACGGATGCGGAGTTGCTGAGCTCGCTGTATTCAACGACCTGGCTCGGCTGCGGAGGAGCAATACGGTCCCAGGAGAGGACATTGCCTCGGGCCTTGTCGTTCAAGAAGCGGCGGAAGAGGGAGAAGAAGTTGTCCATCTCGGCCTCGAAGCGCTTCTTCTCCTTGGGGTCCTTGACGGTGTCTGCGAGGGCATTGAGGGCATTGCGCATCTGCGAAGCGGCGACGCTGGTCGAGGCATGCTCGAACGCCTGGTTGTCGTCAGAGTCAGCAAGTGATACAGCCATAAAGTTGGACAACGACAGAATAAATAGAGCTAATGATGATGATGATGGTGCCAATAGATGCTATACGGCCGGCACTCGACCACGGAGCCAGCTCCAGCAGACGGCGGGCAGTGTGATCTGGGAGGAAGCAGCAGACACTGGACTCACCATGTGCGATTGCGACTTGCCATGGTGCCTGACGAAGGAGTTGCCTTCCTCAGCGGAGCGAGGATCGGGGTTGGGGGCGCGAAGGTGCGATGGGATTGCCTTGCTGGCCATGTTGGCAGAGATGTAATTAGCAGTAGACGAGAGACGAGAGAGAGAGAGGAAGAGCAAGACGGTTCAATTGCAGGGAGCGCGGCGGGTTAAATCCAAGATGGCAGAGCCGGTCGCTTGCTGCCAACAGGGAAAGCTTGGTTGCGGTGATGACAGCATTGCACTTGGCAGTCAACAGATATTATAAACACATCTTGAATTCTTCTCCTTTTCTCTTTGTTTCACTTGCTCCCTGCCCGCTCCGCCTCTCTGCCCCTGCACCATTGAAGTGTCCACTGCTCTTGATCCACCCCCTTGTTAACTAACTAGAGAGGGCTACTATTTATAACCAACTAGCCGATGGCCTCCTGATGAAGGCTACTTCTCCTATCTGATGGAAAGACAGTCCGTCTGAAAGCTTCACTATCAAATCAACTGGAAACTACAATCCCCTGACTAAATCACAGCTTGTTCTCAAACAATGGCGCTGCTCTCCCGCCTCTGAACAGATCCAGCATCTCCTGGCTCATCCATTGGCTTCGAGACTTTGCGAGTCCCCGTTCAACATCGACCATTTGGTCCTTTTGCACAAGCAACCCCATCCCGTTGGCCTTCATGCCCAGATCGACCAGGTGAGCAACTGCTAATGCTACGCTTTCTGGCTTGTTGATCGGAACGCCGATTTTGGCCATTTGGGCAGCCCATTCTGCTGGATCCGCATTGTTCCGCAGCTCAGGGCCGGCGATGATGGGCGTAACCGTGATGGCCGGCGCGACGACGGATACAGCGATATTCAGCGTTGCCACGTCGTGCTTGAGCGCGCGCATCAATCCGACAATTCCTGGCAAATTGCAGATATCGATGTCAGCCCCAGAAAGAAAAGAAAACTAAGAAACAGAGAGTCTTACCATGCTTCGCGGCACTATACAACGGCGCCCCTGCACTCGCCAAATAGCCTGCCAAACTCGCCGTCATCACGATGCTCCCCGCCCTTTTCTTCTTCCCTCCCTCTTCCTCTGACTTCCCAATCGTCCTCCGCATCCAATACACCCCCAATTTCACCGTATCATTTGCCGCCGCCAGATCCACATCGTACACTCTCCGATCCGGCTCCTTCAGTCCCCCACTCTCGTCCAACTCATCCCGAAAGAACTGGTCCCGGTACTCTGCAATACCCGCATTCACAAAAACCGCATCCAGGTACCCGAAGCGTGAGATCGTAGCGGCAAAGGCCGCGCGCTGTTCTTTCCACACGGTGATGTTGCACTTGGCGAAGTGGACGCGATGGGCATTTTCGGGACTGCTGAGCGGGGAAGTGGACGGGGGAGGGGAGAGGTCGAGGATGGAGATGTTGTTGTTGGGAGAGAGGGAGAGGAAGAGTTCGGCGGTGGAGAGGCCGATGCCAGAGGAGCCGCCGGTGATGAGGATGGTTTTGTCTCGGAGGCCTTGGAGGGAGGAGGCGGAAACGGTGAAGGGAGCGCCCGCCATTGTAGTTATCTCTCTTTCTAATCTTGTTTTGATTAATGGGCTAAGAGCTTTGGGTTTGCACAACTATATATCTACATGATCGTAGAATAATAGACCTGCCCGTGTTACCTCGGGTGAAGCCTTTGGAGCTCGCAGCTGGAGAGACCCTTGGGGGGGGGCCGGGGCCGGGGCTGCGGGGAACACGGGCGGCAACGCCTTGTGGAGGCGCCGCCGCTACCCACCGCCTATTTTTATCTCAGGGATCAGGGGCCCGTCGCGAAACTCGAACCCCGACGGCTTTGTGCCTGGAAAATATATCCATGGATAATATGAAGACACCCAGACTATCATTATTCTTTAAACAAACGGCCCGCCCCCCACAGCCATAAGAAATAAAGGAGGACCTTAAAACAGATATTAAAAAGCATACAAACAGCCCATC